TATGACCACAGTTGAATCTGAGAGGTGCTTCTCAACACTGAAGAGAATAAAGACCTTCCTCATGAACACATTGTCACAGCATCGTCTCAATGCATTGTCCATGCTCTCTATGGAGAATAATTTTGTCAAAACCATACCTGACTTCAACCACAGTCGTTGAGAAATTTGCTTCTCTCAAGGATAGAAGGGCAAAATGTACAAAAAGCAGAACACTACATGACATTATAATATTGCTTTTGTTGTTTTCATTCATTTAAATACACTGGTGTGATACCTTAGGATATAGAGCTGAAAGCACTGCAGAGGGTGGTACAAACAGCACAGGACATCACTGGTAGCAGTCTCCACATCATCCAGGACATCTACCACAGGCAATGTCTGCATATAGCACACAGCATCATTAAGGACCACACCCACCCAGCACAAGGAGTCTTCTGTCTACTACCCTCACACAAATGATACAGGAGTCTGTCATTGCATACAAAAAGACTAAAGGACAGCTATTATCCACAAGCTGTCATATTACTAAACTCTTGATAAATAACACTGAACAACTGGCAATAACTTTGCACCAAGCCACATATGTGACAACCTGACTAATATTAGCTTTTGACAGCTAATATGTTTATTGCTGCTGCACTATGTAGGCTGTATCTAGGCTGATACTATGTGGCTGTATCATGTATGATCCAGTATCTATGTATCTACCTTACCATTTGGTACTTATATGTTTTGGTATATGTCTATTTTGGAGTTACAGCCACCCTCCACAAGAAAATTGCACCAGCCGCCACTGCACCGTATTGTTCAGACATTTTTGATCAAATCAGTACTGGCCTGGTGAACATGGGGCTCAGTATGACAAGTCCTAGGCCTATGCAAACACAAAATGCAAGTAGTGATGTTATATTGTGATCTACAGGAAGAAGGGCAGTGTGTGTAGTTGTCCATCTAGGCAAAGGAGCAGTGTAGCAAAACCGGTTGTTTCATTTTTGCTGCCTCTGTAGGCTACTAGGTTGGTGGTTTTATTGCATTTTTAAATTTGTCCTACAGAAATCTATTGAAAATTGTCCATTACATTTTGCTCCTGTATCAATTTTTATTTCTATGGGCTTGTCCCATACATGCAGGGTGACAAATCCTCCATCCCAGTCCTCTGCTTGGGTATTGATAATGTCCACAGATATAAAGTGCTCAACACCATCCATATATAAAGTGTCATCAGTGGGACTGTGGTGTGGCTGCTCTAACTGGCTGGTGCACAGGTTTTCTGCTGTAATGTTGCTTTACAAGACTTTTTTTTTCAGGACTTTGGTTAGACTTGGACTTACAGCATTTCTTGTAATGGTTCCACTTTTTACATTTGTGGCATTGCTGGCCAAATGCAGGACATTTATCTCTGTGCAATGTGGTTGCTTCCACAATTGTTGCATTTTGTAGAATTTTGCATTCTGTTGGCTTGTTTAAATGTTGTCCTATACTTCCCTCTAGCAAAGTCTGGCTGTAGTGCACCCAATGTGGTGACTTGTGAGAGCTCCTGTCATCTCATAAATAAGACAGAGGGAAATGGCTTTAGAAAGTGTTAGGTCACTGTCACATAGCAGGACCTTTATTATGCTGTCATTATTTATCTTACACACAATTCTGTCACTGATTAGCTTATCTGTTAAGTCTCCAAAGTGGCAACTTTTAGCTTTAATTTTCATCACTGGTATGATTCAATTGTCTCACCTTGTTTATGATTTTGAGAATGAAACTTGTGTCTCTCCATTGTTATGTTATGGGTTGCGCGTTTCCCGAAACAACTTCTTTAGACAGTCAGGGTCCTCTCTGGACTCGGATACATGGATGGCTCAATCCTCACCTGGAACCCTAACCTCGGCAGCATAAACAAATGAATACTCCCGTTTGATGTCTTCTGCTCCTGCAAGATTGAGGAGGATGTATGCCTCATTTTAGCAGGCTTGTCTGTGTGGGCTACCCCAATAAAGATGTCGTATTCCTTTTCAAAAATTTGCCAATTCTCATGCGAGGTCCCAGTCAAAAACGAGAGGGTCTAGTCTGCGAAATCCCTCTGATGTTACTTTTACGCTGCTTACGACATTGATCTTGTCTGTGCACAATTGAGGAAAATGGCAAATGGAAAAAGAGAAAAAAAATTACAGGCGTTTGATCCTTGAAATCTTCTGACACCATGTCAAAATGAGCGGAGTCCACACTTTAGTCGCTTGATTTAGAACTGGCAGCAACTATTTTACATGACTGTACATGTATGGGTGGTGATGAACATGTGGCATCCGACAAGAGACTGACCTGTAACCTCTTTCTAGCAAGTACAGTACCTAACACAAACAGTCATTTATCAGAATGATCTACAAAAGGAAAGAGAATGGGTAAAAAAGTTGGTCTTGAACTCCCCAAGGAATGCACTACTTGAATATTATAGAAGTAAACTATAGTATAGTATAATAGTAATAGTATAATTATAAAACTTGATTCCCTAAACTGTTACTGTGCAATTGGCCAGCTAATTAAGAAAACTGCTCTCTTAGTACCCAAACTAAACAATCAAAACACAGGTAAAGACAAACAAAAGTAAACTGTAATGTATATATATATATAACATAATATTGGTCAAATCTAAAAAACAAAACTTAAACCAGCACTTAGTCAAAAATGCTAATTGATTAGCTGCTCTCTTAGCATACAAGCTAAACAGTGAAAAACATGTTTTAGGACAAAATTTAAAAGACTGCTGTAATGTATTCATACCAAAAATTGTAAAATTTATTAATAACAAGTTTCTTATTTTCAGGGAAAACGTTTACTTTGAGCGTTTATTGGCAACTATTGAGAACGAGCTTACCTGCAGCACCACTCTCAAGTTGGACGGAATGATCGGGACACACTGAGCATGCGCAGGGCATATAAAGTTGAGTTCCACGCGAGTTTGGTGTTGCTGAGGAAAATAAAAGTTTGGTGTTACTTAGCAACCATCTGCGCCCGCTCTCAACTATGGTTGGAAAACTGCACGCGTTCTGACCTTAACCGAGAGTATTACTATAAACATTTATCTAAGTTACTATTTGCCCTCCATTGACTGAACACCATTAGCGCAATATCCGAGAAAGACTCGCAAACTGAACACCTGTTAGCTTCTTAGAGCAGGTTAAAAAAAAATAAAAATCTACAACAGTTGTATTTATTACAAGCTGAACACTTTTTTAGGCAAAGCTTGGGTCGTGAGGCATTTAACGAAATGAAGCAAATTTGTTATTTAAATAAGGGACTGACAGTCTTTTATTGTGAAATTGCCTTGAATGTGTAGAATCTCAAAGGTGCAAACACTACACACCTGTGATGTTTAACTAAATGAAACTGGCACGAACTAACATGGGGAAACTGTCTACATTCAATAGATTAAAACGTGTTAGATGTTTCAATTCCATTCAATAAATTGAAAATGTTTTAATTTCAAATGCAGATCACTGCAACTACAGACCCACATGCTGAACACGCTGCATCACTTAATGTGTCATCTGCAAGCATCAATTACAAGTTACACATTTTTAAAAAAAAGAATGATTCACACCAATGCTCTCACATCATCTGGTCATATTAACTGGAGATTCAGCAGACTGTGGAACAACAGTGACACCACATGGTAAACAGACACAGCCTAAAAAGAACAGTAGTACTGTAGCTGGTTGAACAATAAGGCTTTATTTACTAATGTAAAGAGGAAATGGAATTGACCATTTTGATCTCAGAGGTAAGCTGCCAAACAGGCCTACAGATTGCTGTTTTAAGTGCATACATACATGGTAAGAGTATGTTTTCCTTTACACAAAATAAACAGATCTAGAAAAGGGTACCATATAGCATGCAAATGTACTTCGTTTTAAATCTAATATTTTTCAGTACATTTTTCTGTTTGCTGTATGGTAGTGTTTTGGTGTAGCTACCATTTCACAGAACTTACAGTTCTAATCTAAAGAACAAGTTATACCAACAGGTAAACTAATATATAGATGCAGGCAGTTGTAAAGTTTAGTGACCTTAGCAAATAGCAAATTGAAAGCAAACTAAGCTTTCAGGGTCTGAAGTTAACAGAAGTGTTGAAAATAAAAGTAAAAGTGTGCAGATGGGCAGGCAACGTGGAATGTAAAGTTTTAACGGTTCACTGATAATTTTGATAAATGCCTGAAAAATTATAACAATGGGTACAAAGAAAAAATATATATATTTTAAGATAATAGGCCTTTAAGATGGCACTAAATGGTTAAAATCAGAAAAAATATGTGTTTTGAGACCCTGAATGCATGTCTAAATGCTTTTTTCATCACAGCAACATACGGACATACGGCACTTTATTCTTAGTTCTAGTTTCACAGCTTTTCATTTACAATGTTTAGAAATATTTACATATTTCACACAAGAATAAAATGTGAAACAGCTGTTTTAAAGAAAAAACTATTGGCACAGGGTGATGACAAGGCCACTAGATCTGAGCTGTACGCTGGTGAAATGGTGAAACAAATGTGGGAGAAAAGAGTAATGCAGTTTCTTCACAATTTGAGATTATGGTAACTTAAAAAAATTAGACATTTCTGTATACAGACTACATTCTGTGGAAAAGTACAGAAACTGTTCAGTTCAGAAAATAAATTTAAGATAGAGTTAATCAATAAAACTACAAAGGCACCCAGAATATTATGGAGCAAGCACTAAGTCCCTCACCAGGAAACATTTTCACAGTTTGTTGTCATTCATTATCTTTCTGCAACAAGAGAAAACACAACTTTTAAAAAAATAATGAAGCCAGGTGTGGACGGGCCGGTGGCACAGGAACTGTTCCCTGGACCCGAGCCTGTTCTAACTACAGTATACATTTGTATTTCTATATTGATGTATAAACTACACGGGCCATGCTTAAATGGGTGCCAGTTAGGCCCACCTGGCCTCGTCTCACATTCACCGCTACGTCTCGTATGTACAGACAAAAAGAAAGTTAAAAGTGTTCGTATCTACACTGAAAATCTACGTCTTTGTCCAGGTGTTGTATGGCCACACAGTGTAGAGGGAGTTGTGCAGGTGGACATGGACAATAAATAGATATACCTTTATGTATACAATAAATAGTAGTAATGTTGTCTTGTTTTCTTTAGACTGTGGCTTTACAGGACCCTGGATCTCTTGCTGGAGAGGGAACCATGCTGAAGGATAAAAAAACACCACAGTGAGCAGCCAAGTAAATGATAGTAACGCAAAACAAATTGTGAGTAGGTATGGAAAGGAACAAACAGAATATCACTGGTAATATTCACAAACTAAATGCTGAGTATGTGGTTTGTATCTTTGACCAACCTTTGCTTGTTTGTAAAAGTGGGGGGCCAACTCAACCAGCCAGGATGACTCAACAGCAGTCACATCACGCATGTAATATTTGGACGTCTGCACCACTTCATTGAAGACAACCCTTTTTAAAAAAACAAGAATGTCTGGCAAACACTTTCACTCCATGACTGAACAAATATATTACTGGAATATAGAGCATGAATACTTGGCACTTTGAATATTAGCTCAGGATTTATTGCAGCCCAAGCAGTTCTTTGCCATATTAACAGTGTGCATATTGATATTGCAATGATTCTAAATTGATATATCGCGTAGCCATAAAGAAAACTTGTTTAAACAATTCATGAATATATTTGTGAATCCTTCAAAAAATGTTATCATCTTTATAGTTTACGATACAAGAAGGTTAAACATATTTAACAAAGTGTGAGTTATCTACTGACCACTTTGGAGGTTTCTCGCCATAAAGCACAGAGTTGGGGTGAATGTGTAGCTCCAGATCATCTCGTAAAGTCCTAACAAGGCAAAACAAAAAGAAAAGACAAATTTGTCACGAATAATTTAAAAGCATGAATAATTATTTTTAGGATAAAAGTGTTACATGGTGACAAATGCTGAAGTTCACCCTCACCGGTAGGAACCAGAATGGTGAATGCGGGCAGCATTAGCAAAGAATCCAGACACAATGCACTTCAGGATCACATCTGGATCACCTGGGCAGAACATGCAATAATATACATCAGTCAAATGTTTGCAAATACCTGGAGTCACAAGTTTCTGCAGCATCTGTCACCTCAGCTGAGTCACACAGGGTTCCCAGCGACTCTGGAAATTAGGGAAAACCTGGAAAATGACTAACATTTTCCAGACAGGGAAAACTCAAGAACCCTAAACACTGATCCACTGATTAAAAGATGATCTTTCTGAGATTTTAATGTGTACATGTATTTTTCATTCAACATTTATTTATACAGGTTAATCCCTTTGAGTCTCGGAGACTCGTTTACAAGAGAGGGCTGATTTTTAATAAAGAGTGATGACAACAGTGGACAACAAAGACAATAATAGACAAGCATAAAGGATGCGTACAAGTTGAGATTTTTTTTTTTTAACAAGTGGAAATAAAATGGTATTTAAAAGAAAATGTAACAGAAAAACAGCTAGACTATAAGGCAGTGTAGAAAACTAAAAACAGGAACGTTGCATTGTTTTTTTGTCAGGAACTTAGCAGATGTTTGAAGCCACTTAGAGGTCAAGGTCGAGAGCTTCAGATCTTTTACAAGATATTCCAGGAAATAGGAGCAGAGTAGGAGAAGGCCCTTTTGCCTAGTTCAGTCCTCATTGAGGGAACACTGCATGTAATAATGTTCTGAGAGTGCACGCTGTAGCTGCACTCACGCAGAGACATGTAGGAGGAGATGTATGAAGTAAACAGATCAAGAAGTGATTTAAAGATGAAAATGTACCAGTGAGAGAGTCTGCGTGAAGTTAATGATGACCAGTTAACCAGTGAATACAGGGTGCAGTGGTGGGTACGGTAGTTACATCAGAATCTCAGCGCACCGTGATAGACAGCATCCAACATCTGCAGGGTGCTTGTAGGGGCGTTCATGTAAATAATGTCACCGTAATCAATGGAGGGAAGGAAAGTCACAGTTACAAGGTGTTCCCAAAGTTAGACAGGATATGTTTCTGAAAAAGAAACCCAGTTTAACTTTCAGTTTCCTTACTAGGTTTTCCACGTGAAGCTTAAAAGAGAGATGCAAATTGATCAAGATACCCAAAGTTTTGTAGGAATCGACAAACTCAACAGGGACACCATTCGAGGGTAAAACCAAAGGAAGAACTGCTGGGACCGACTTCCTGTTTGAAACAAGCATCCCTTTGGTTTTGTTGGTGTTTAGGACAAGTTTAAAGCTAGTATTCTAGTATCCCTGAGTCCATGTTCTGCTTCTAAAGTGTACACAGTACGTTTACTGTATCTTTACTGATTGGTTGAAGTGGATTTTTAGTGTCTGATATTATACATTACAATTAATTATTAGAAATGGATGTTGTATGCACGTACTGTAGACTACAGTATACTTACTGTCATCTTTGATTGTGACTCTGCCTGCCATCTAAGACGCTAAGTTCTGAGCGTGTCGTACGACTGAAATATCCTGGAATTTCAGGATTTACTCAGGGAATTTTGTTTTCATGAAATGCTGGGAACCTTGTTGCACGTTCGTAACTCAAACATACCCTCGCTGGAAGTCCGCGGCACTTTGAACTTGTTCATGAGACGCCGAAGCTGTTCTCGCACAGTCACGGCGCGCACCAGGCCCTTGTAGTTGAGAAAATGTTCCTGACACCACTGCGAGCTCTTCTGATGCTGCAGGGAAAGCCGATAAAGACACGCAGATTTAATTAGAGGCTGTTTGTTAAAATTATGAAAGTTCACTACAGCCAGTTTACTGCTATTGAGCAGTCTGGGCACACTATACCTTAATAAATGCTTCATACACATTCAGCATGGTGAGGTGGTCTCCTTCAGCGACTGCAAATTTCCTGTGCTCGCGAGCCTGCAAAACAAAATGTCGAGGAAAAAATATGAAGAAAACTTTTTACACTGACTAAACCTTTCAGCCAAAAATGCATCATGCTTTTTCTAAAAACCTGTGTTCACTTACGGCAACTTTCTTCTGATTGGGTGGCACAGAAAAAATATTCTGAATCTGCATCATTGCTGCTATGGTAACAATCTCTTTGGAGCAGCCATAATTCCCTGACTCTAGGAGCATCTTAGCAAACATGGGGCTGAGAGGAAACTCAGCCATCCGCATGCCCATGGGATCAGTCAGATGGCCATATTGGTCCAGACCTGCCAAGATGCACACAGACAGTACAGACACTGCTTCTTGTTGTGGACAGCTTGTCAACACAGAATCATGACCATCAGATGTGCAGCTGAAGGACTGCTTCACATGTTTTACCTCCAAGTGCGTAAAGAAGTTCCAGAGCCTGAACCATCGTTTGAGCTGGAGGAGGCTGTGAAATAATAATAAAGGAATCTGCATTTTAGGCACGATATTGACTCTAAAAGACAACTTACTTGAGAACATACTTGAGAAGTGATTAATTACCTTTAAATCTTTAAAAGTACAAAGTTAGACAGTGTGTTATTTTAATGTGTTATGGTAAATCTTTTGTCAGAGACCAGGCAACGTTCTAGTTGAATAAAATGTAACATATTATTTGTTTTCACTGTGGGTGAACAAATCACAGCCAGTGACAGGAAAGAGAGTGACTCACAGAAAGAAAACTAAACCGCAGCACGTTGTCTATGCCCAACGCTTTGAGCTGAAGGATGACAGGAGCCAAATTAGAGCGTTGCATCTCTGGAACAGTAGAGGCTGGCAGTTTCTCAAAGTCTTCCTCTGATGTTAAGAACAGAAGGCATAAGAAACAAATTTGAAGCAACAATGGCGAACAAATACATGGAACATAACGATTAATGGGCATTTGTTCCGGTAACCTCATATGTACCGGTGTATAGTCTAAAGCATTTCCCAGGACGGTTTCGTCCAGCCCTGCCAGCCCTCTGGCTGGCCGAAGCCTTGGAGATGGGAGTGACCACCAGAGATTCAATGGCCGTGCAGGGATTGTAGGCTCGCAGCTTCACAAACGCACAGTCGATGACAAAAACGATTCCATTTATGGTAATGGAGGTTTCAGCTATGTTAGTGGCAACCACGATCTGGGAAGAGGAAAGAAAAACACATGGGAAAATCTTAACTTTACTGGTAATCTCTCATTCTCATTGTTTTTCTGTATCTTCCATAGCCTCAGGATGTGTTATGGATGCATAGATGTAAAGACAGACAGATGTACAGATGAATAACCCTTTTATCAATCTGCCATTACTCAACTTGTATATTGGAAACCCCAAAACAGCAATGCAAACTTCAAAGACAATCAAAATTTTCTACAAAAACACAGAGAAAAAATAATCCTTTCACCTTGCGAACAGAAGAGGGAGCTCTCTCGAACACCTTCATCTGCTCAGCATAAGGTAGACCAGAATACATGGGCAAAATTCTCAGGTGTTTCTTCATGCCATATCGAGAAAGAGCTCTGGCCTGCTCCTGCAGCAGGGACACCACCTTCTCCACCTCCTCCTAATACAATATGAACATGGATAGTTTAATAATACTGGTAAGAAAGCCCGTGCATGTGAATGCTGTCAAACTTTTCCACTATTTTGTCAAATGTGAGCATATAAAGTGTATATTAACTAACCTGCCCAGTGAGGAAAGCCAAGACGTCCCCATCATCCTCCGTCTCATGGATCTTCAGGACTGTCTCCAATGTGGCCTTCACATAATCTGGGACAGGACTAAGAAAAACCAGAGGTATTTTAGGTTTAAATATAACGTTTTCAAGTTTCACGTCGTAATTTCTTCAGTTTGGACTTTGCGTTTGGGCTACCTGACGGTGTAGAAGACGTCCACTGGAAAGGTGCGTCCCTCTACTGTCAGAATTGCGCTCGTGTCATTGTTTAGATCTCCAGACTCGTTCAGATTGAAGAATTCATGGAATTTCTTCAAAAGACAGCAATACAACCCGAGAAGATGGTGTACGTTAATAAAAAATATATATTTTTTGTATTTAAAAACATTTTAACAACAACAAATACTATAACATAGTATTTCTTTGTTCCTTTGCAACACAGCAAAGAAACATCAATGTTGTACCGAATTTGACAACAGATAAGTCTTGTTGTGTGATTAGATAAAAGCCTTTTTAAGCAGACAGCACAGCAGATGTCTGGAATGACATTTCAGCTGACGTGCTTATAGCTGAGCACAGTTGAGACCTGATTTTGACCATCAGGGTGCCACAGATGTCAGAACATTGAGTTCAGCTGACATCTCTGTTCCCCTGTGTCTGCCTTCGTTGATCTTTTCTCATCAGATGAGCTTATCTGGTCATCTTAATCATGTACGCACCTTGGCGTCAAGAGTGGCAGAGGCTACAATCACCCTCAAGTCACGCCGCTTCTTCTGAATCTGTCCAGAAATGAGTTTAAAATGTGACAATGTGTTAGTTTTATTGGTAAAAGAGAGCATTAGTTGGTATTATTGAACTTGTTACTTGAAATACCTTCTTTAGTAGACCAATGGCTATATCGGTGTACAGAGTTCTCTCGTGTGCTTCATCTAACATTAACACACTAGGACAGAACAAAACAGCATCTTAGTTACCAATAGTAGCTAACCAGTGACTGGTTGCAACTTTGGCCAGAAATAATATGAAAGTTTGACAATATAAATTAGGCTAGTCTTAGCGAATTTCTTTCCAATACAGTAACATTAAAGTATGAGCAAAAAATTTCAATGAGTAAATGACATTAGTATTAAAAGGCAAAACTTTTACGGCCACTCTGTTTAAGTTATTAGGCTGCAACTGTATGCTTTATTTATTTCAAACTTGGCTACCTATTCATTTTGAATAATACAGGGAAAAACATAAAGCTGCAGTGGGAAATCTGTTATATACCGATATATTTTTTATTGTGCACGTTAACTACTGTGCATCTACACATTGCGATAGGTATCAATAAATAGGAGTGACTAAAAAGGAAGAAAACATAAATTTACATCTCAGGCACATATACCTAAAAGAATCAGCCAATAGAGTTTGAGGTTAAATAGTGACCCGTCTTTCGGCATGCAGCACCTCCTATCTGCGTGCACTTTTAATGTGCACATATTGCACATACACCTGGTTGGATTCTACTATAGAGTTCTGCTGAACCGAGAGGTGCTACTAGAAAATGCAAAAATGGCAAAGGGCAGCAGCAACCTGTTTCTGATGCTTATACTTCAAGCACAACTACCAGGAGTAGAAAAAGAATAATACCATGAATAGCCATGTTTGTTTTTCCTGGTCATGAAAAGTATTTTCTTACGGGCAAGTCAGGCCTTTTAGTTTAAAAGCACTGATGAACGATGATGAATTTAGATCACGCATTCAAAAACCAATAAACATTCACGAAAAGACCTTTGAGAATTTACAGTAATTAAAGAACAGCTGTATATAAACAGCTGTTTAATTGTTCTTTGGTTACCTGTATTTTTTCAAAAGAGGATCAGCCATCATCTCTCGGACCAGCATGCCATCTGTTAGGAACTAAAGCACACAAAAAATCAATATCAAATGAAAACAAACCCAGAAAAGATAGTGACTAAACTCATCTTCCTCTAACAACCTTAATCCTCGTGGCGTGGGGGTCAGAACAGTCATCAAATCGGATAGTGTAGCCCACCTCGTGGCCCAGAAGGGCCCCTCGCTCCTCTGCAACACGGTTCGCCACCTATCAGCAGAAAAGATATGGTATATATATTTTATTATAGCAGATTTTAGATGTTATACATCCAATATATTATTAGAAGCAGGTACATGTTCTTCAAGGGGGAAGAAAATGTGCCTGCAGCTAGATGACAATGGCAAAAAGTTGTGAAAAAATAAATAAATAAAGCATCAGTGGTACTCTTACTGAGATGGCAGCAACACGTCGAGGCTGCGTCACTCCAATCACTTTCCCCTCTACGGCCCAGCCAGCCTCCAGCAGGTACTGATGGAAGGAAGAGGGAAGAATACGGAAGAGGAGAACAAAACATGAATAAACAATTCTGCATAAATTAAGATTTAGCTGATGTGGTGCAAACACTGCTGCAGAACAGAAAAGACTCTGCTAAGAATCAGGACAAGGTCACGTTAAATCACTATGGAAACGATTCTTATGAGAAGGATGCCAGAAAGCTGCTGCACTGAACTGAACTAGTCACCATTCATTTTGAATGTGCAAACTAACCTGAGGTATTTGTGTTGTCTTCCCACATCCAGTCTCACCAACTATGATTACAGTCTGGTAGCTTTCAACCAAATATAAGATGTTGTTTCTGTGCTGCGTGGGAAACAGATGAGAAGAACATGTTCCAAGGCCAGCCAAACAAGAAAAGCATCTGTTCATAAGAAAGTCATGTTGGTCTGAGACATGAGAAGCAGCAGAGAGAAACCTTGAAAACGGGGAGCTTCTGCCTCTGTTTCTCTATGGAGAGGGCGGTGTGGGGGTTGAAGATGATGGGAGAGCCCGTGGTTTCCGAGTTGAGCTCCCGTTCCTCCGAGATCCCCGGAGCCTCAGAGCCTGGAGCAAAAGATGGAGATGTTTTATCTGATCAGTGCTAGCAGGCTGCTTATGAAAGCCAGTCATGGTTTGATCCGATAAAAGAAAACACTTCAGTGGCGCCTATTCCGTAACCTGTATCGTTGTTTTCTTCTCTGCAGAAAGACGTATTTCATGTTGGCAGGTAAACACTCTGGTTTCCGCGCAGCTGCAAGCCGAGCTGCAGACACCCGCAGCAGCGGCGGTGAACACCGCTGCAGCCGCTCCGACACGCACCGCTTCACAAACAGCAGCTAAAACATTTATATCAAGAAACATAGTCTAATAAGCTTTAGTTTTTCACTCTTACCGGGCTTCCAGAATCTCATGGTGGAGAGGGGAGCCGCCATCTTGACTTTTACGTCACATTAGTTTTTTTCTGTGATGACGTCACGATCCGGGCATTCTTCAGAGATTAATGAATGACGTTAAAACAAAACAACGACCGAGTGTCCATTTAACGAAACTTTTCTGGCAGCAATTCAAGTCAGTTCTGTTTAACCTAAGGCAAGGTGTTTTAAAGAACATTTGAAAGTTATGAAACAAGTTTGATACAATATGAATATTCAAATAAATATTTTTATTTTATTTTTTTTGCGTTTGCTCGCACCTCCAACAATATGGCGTCCTTTTTTAAAACAGTAATAACAAAAAAACATACAAAAAATGGCAATGACAATTTCACATTTAACAAATCTATTTCAGCTAACATATTATAATTAAACCTCCCTATCAATAAAAAAATATATCCAAGAATATAACATATTAGTATAACTTCGTTATTACTAATATCAGAATATATAAACAACTGAACAGGAAAAAGAAAAACAGAAGAAAAAAAAAAAAAGAGAATTTAAGGAAATCACATTAAGATGGCGTTCTTTTGTTTACACCGGAAGTCTGCTGCCCCGTCTCGTAAGTTCCCGGATGTTTTTCTTGCTCCCAGGTTTCATCCTGTATCGCATTACAAATGGGTTATTTCACAAATTTTAAACAGGGAATTATTAAGTCTTTTTTCCTTTTCTTTTTGATTATTCGATCCTTGCTTTTGGTTACACAAATTCAGTGGCACAAAATAAAGATTGATTCTGCCCAGGTATGTTCAGCTCAGTCTGCAGACACTGATTAGACATTATGTGCTGGTATTTAAAACTGAATTTATGTTTTATTAGTCTTATATTTGACTGATTATTTGATATTACAATAGTATAACTAGGCCAACATATGATAAATTTTGTAATTTAATTGTGGTCATCATTTTTATAAATTGACTATAGTCACAGTCACACCTACAGTTATATGATTTCTGCTTGTGATGTTAGACATGCAATTAAATTGGGCTTCACTGTGATAGTTGCTCCTCATCCTTGGTGTTCGAGAAACTATAGGCATCTCATATCAGGCTTGAGCACTTACAGCTTTCTGCTCAGCCTGGGTTATGAAAGTTTACTTTTATAAAATACCTTCCAGAAATGGAACATTTAGTGGGTCCAGAGACTTTTGACGTAGCTTATTTTTATGCAGTTTCTTGCTAAAATGTATTGAATCAATTTTTGAATTTTACAATGCGTTTTCATTCATTCACGTTTAAAGATACACACTTAAAAGAAATGGGTGTTAAATCTAATTTTAAGTTTTTCTTTAATGTAAATCTGAACAGTATTAGATAGGATTTTTATACATTTAAACACTGATAGTTGCATCCATGTCAAATACATTTGTAACATTTAAGATTTTATGTTCTGATTTATAAGTACTTGAATATTTACAACCTGTGACATTTTTTTTAATTTCTGATATTTTATAATTGTGTTTTATTATATGGAAAGTCATTTTCATATAAAGAAATTCAACTAAAAAACAGACTGACTTGAACACTAAAGAGACAAAAACAGCTACTATTCAAAGAAAAACACGTTTCTGTCTTGTAAAATGGAGGCCAAATGAAGCCCACGTTTAATGATTCCAACAGATTTGATCAGAAAATACAATCCTTTCAAAACGCCAGCTGCATATCACATATAACAGTATCATAAGATCTTTCTCCAAAGCTCTTCCCAATAAAATACTGAGAAATATGTTACATCCATCAAGATATAATACAAATAAATCTGTAATACAAGTTGGATCTGACAAACAGAACATAGTACAGACTTTAAATTAGTTTCAATTTTGACAAAAAAAAATTATGCGAAAGCTACTTGTGAGAAACTAAAATTAAATATTTATTAAATTTAATTTTTTTAATTAAATGACAGACACTGAAAGTAAATCATGGCAGTGCAAAGATCAAGTTCAGCCCAAAAACTGCACATTTGCATGTTATCACAACAGGCAAGTTTTGTCCTCTTGGATAGATTTTAGTGAGACTCAACATGTTGAAACATTAAGACTGGAAACAAACCACCATGGTCATGACTGCCAGCAATTGTTTTGATGTTAATGTCAAATATCAGCTCTGATTACTTACAATTTTTTTACTGTTTACACATCTGACAAAACTGTCCTAATAAAAATTTCATTTTAATATGTTAAAAACTGCAACACATGCAGCAGCTGATAACGTTGATTCCCATTTTCTAAACAGGCAACAACCATTTAAAAGTAAAACTTTAAAACGGCACTAAGGAGTGATGATACAAAACAAATTTATTAAATACAGCGTTGTTTCACTCTAATAACAAAATTATGACTTTTAGTCGCCTTGCTCTGTAACTTTACTGTTCCGCTCATGAAATGTAGCATGGTAAGACAAATAATGCAAAATGTATTTTTTTTAAAAAGGAGAGCCTCAAATTAGAGATGTACAGCATTTGACTTTGTTCATCACTGTGTTCTTGCTGGAAATTGTTCAGTGCACCACGATTCCTATGGCGCACTGCACACCGAGGTCCATGTATGTACGGAGAACTGAGATTCCTCCACCATGAAGTTCTTTAGTTTCTTCAATTTAAATCAACAGAAACGTTTGTTTTAATTCTTTGTGAATTCCTCTCAGTCAAAATGTAGAGCTGTGTAAAAGATTATCCACACCACCTGGTGAAGGAGAGGGAAAAATATTTGATTTATACACTTGAAAAACAGTAGAAATTATTTTCAACCATATTCATCCAACTATATTTTGTACCTAAATGTTATTGCACTGGGCCATGTGATGAGAAAGCAGTTAGAATGCACCAACATGGGCTGAACAGACCATTACATACACGTCATTACTCTACGCCCCTTACCCTTATTTATACTTTCTACTGTCTTTCCAGTTATTTTGTTAAAGGCATGAAAAGCACAGATGACTACTACTGCTGCCACACACACACAAAACCACAACGCACATTGTTAACCACCTTCAGGGCAACAGAACGTGATCATGTTCTGTTGGTTCACACACTAGGAATAAGTAAAATTTTGCATACATGCTACATTTTTAACCTGTTTTCTCTATAAGTCATACCAACTTTGCAAAGTTTTGTCAAAATATCTTTACATGTTTTTCTACATTAGTTTCCCCACCAGAAACAGAGCAAAAGATGTCATGAAGCCTTCTTTGGTGAGCTCCCACGTCCCTCCATATTCCTCTTCATCAACCTGCTGAAAGCTGCTGAAGTATAGGTACAGGAGACCAGCGTTGATGACACAGAAACTAATGGAGCAAACAAAGAAAGACGTCAACTTTACAGCTCTTTTTTTTTCAGTACCATGTCAGGGTAAGACTGGCTGTACAGAATACCTACATGGCTATTCCCAGAAATCCTTTCAGTGGTGCAACACCCCATACCACACCAAGGATTACTGCAATAATTTGTCGGAGCCAATAAATCACATCTAAAAACTCATCCTGTGGAGCAAAAATAAAAAATGTTAATTAAAATTGTGTAAACAATGACATAAAACTCCACCCACAAACACTATCCTTTTAAACTTTGTTCTCAATTTTCATTCAACCTTTCTTTAAACAGGTTAGTCCCATTGAGCCACGAGGACTCATTTACAAGAGAGACCTGAATTAATTAATCAATTATTGTAATATAGCAACTGTGATTTAAATATTTATCTGTGTCATTAAAAAAAAGGCATTGTCACATCTGCTACTGATCCAGGCCTGTTATTTGAGCTTGAGAACCAGCAATACCTGCTGGAGCTTATCTCAGCTGACATTGAGACTAGCCCACATCATAAACAGGAAACCAATGAATCACAAAGTCAATCCTGACAGACAAACAAGATTATACACCTGCAATCCAACAGTTCAGAGTCACAAATTAATGTCCATTTTTAAATTTGGACACACACTAAAGACACACTTCCAAAAAATAAACTACTGAAAAATGTCTGCTGAATGGCATTTCATTATCTTTGAAAAGTGTCGTGTAAGTGATTAATTTTTTTGTTTGTTTTTTACTTTAAGGAATAAGTTAAAAGTATTTGGATATTAGGTTGGAATGAAGACAAGACGTGATTGAGATTAACGAAAAGAATATTAGAAATATTAAATCTTATATTAACAAGCAAATGCGAACAATTGTGAAATGATTTATAAGACAAAAATGACAGAATTCCTCTAGTGTCAGAAAAAGGCTAAGTTCCTGTAGTAGAAATTGGTTCCAATGATTATAAACAGCCATAAAATTTAAGTTTATTTGACTGGAATGACAAAAATAAAATCTGGGTTTTAGGTATTTTGTTCAGCAATACAGTAACTTGATTTTTTTTTTAATTAAACATAACATGTTTAAATGCCCTTGCTGTTTAGAATAAGAAGGTCCAAAACAGCAGTACGTCTCTTAATTTGACAATCAACAAACCCCTGAACTTAGACCAGATTAATCCTTAGCAGCATTAAGGCACAGTTAGCTGTGCTAGCTACACAGCTAACGGTATAAATGACAGAAAAAGTGAGTGCATTCAAAAGCTGGACACAAAAACAGTACGCCAAGTAGGACGTGTAAGAGAAGTGTGGGGAAAAAGATACTTAATGACCCACCTTTTCTTCCCAAACAGCAGTACTGCAGAAAGCTTTGCTCCATGTGGACTGTTTTACACCTCCATTCGCCAAATGACTTTCTTCTTTACGCTTTGAAGTACTGCTCGACATTCTGCTCTTTCCTTCAATTAAACACGCCACAAAGTTGGAAACCAAGTTTGATGACAGTTTAGAAATGGTTTAAATCTCTAAAGCGAAACAAAAGAAAAAAAGAACACGGGAATATTTGGAGGTATTAAAAGAATCTTGGCTACGCTGAGCTGACAGATTCCAGAGGCTAAACGTTAAAGGCAGTCTAAGCATGCGCAGAACTGTTGAACCCTAGCCAGCTCCAGCCAATCAGAGAATGCGACGTTTCTCCACCCCGTGGCCAAAAACATTGTCAATGAAAATCACAGCGACCTCTTTCGGACAATACTTGTAACTGCAAACGACTAAAATACCGATGTGCTTTCGATACATAAAATAAAACAACGCACGACTCTTTCTGCATTTCAGTCATCCAAAACATTTTCACAACTATCGCAATAAATATGGCTACTGGGCTTGATTTTTTTAACAGTGGTTTCAAATTATTCATATTTAGCCATTTTAGGTGCATATTATTATTGTTTTATTTAAATTTTAACATGACCATTTAAATATAGAGAAATGGTTTTTGTATGCTGAAAAACTCATAATTTTTATATATACATTAAAAATTAGTTATTACAATTAAAATACCATATCAAATCTAATATTTTAGTACCAAATAAATGCAAAGCTCCCATCCATCCATCCATTATCTTTACCTGTTTATTCCATTTTGGGTCATGGGGGTCGCTGGTGCCCATGTCCAGCAGTCACTGTGCGAGGGGCGGGGTACACCCTGGACGGGTCGCAAGTCCATCACAGGGCCACATAGAGACAAACGAGACAAACAAACATTCACTCTCTCACTCACACCTATGGACAATTTAGAGTTACCAATCAGCCTAACATGCATGTTTTTGGTCTGTGGGAGGAAACCGGAGTACCCGGAGAAAACCCACGCATGCACGGAGAGAACATGCAAACTCCACCCAGAAAGGCCCCTGGACCGGGGTTTGAACCAAGGACCTGCTCGCTGAGAGGCAGCAGCTCTACCAGTTGCGCCACCGTGCTGCCCTAAATGCAAAGCTCCCAATATTTAAATCTAAACTATAGTCAGAGTCAGAGTCAGAGTCAGAGTTTCTTTATTGTCATTCGCACCTCATGTGGTACATGTGGTGGAGCGAAATTATGTACACAGGTCATGAATAGGTCATGAATATAAAAAGCAGCAGAAGAGCTTAAAACATACAACAATAAATGTTCATTGAATGTTCATTCAAATGAGCATGCATCAGGAAACAATAAATGTTATAATACGTCAAGTCACATTTATTTATATAGCACATTTAAAACAGTAACTGTTATCAAAGTGCTTACCAAAAAAGATCACAGCATCAAATATTAATAACAAGATATTACAGCAACATGAATAAAAGCATAAAAACATTAAATATAATGAGAAACAATGAAATACTATGTAAAAGTATTGTGCGAGGAGCGGGGTACACCCTGGACAGGTCTCCAGTCCATCACAGGGCCACATAGAGACAAACGAGACAAACAACCATTCACTCTCTCACTCACACCTAGGGACAATTTAGAGTTACCAATCAGCCTAACATGCATGTTTTTGGTCTGTGGGAGGAAACTGGAGTACCTGGAGAAAACCCACGCATGCACGGAGAGAACATGCAGACTCCACCCAGAAAGGCCCCTGGATCGGGATTTAAACCGGCAACCTTATCGCTGAGAGGCAGCAGCTCTACCAGTTGCGCCACCGTGCTGCCAATTTAAAACCAAACCAAAATAAATTCTTTAGACACACCTTCACCACAAAGAGACACAAAATCACCAAGTTTTGACAGAAAATAAGAAATGGAGACACCTCAAAGCACCCAACACAAAACCTTAACCACCAAAAAGGTACAAAATGTACTTAATAACCACAGGATAAGATAAACAGATTATGAAAATAACAGGAAATAGATCTGTTTATGATCATCAGATAAATTAAAAAAAAACTGAAACTGGACAAATGAATGACTCGTTTATTGATATGTTTACAATAAAAATTAAATTTTCTCTTAGCTAATCAGCTAACTTATCAGCATTATAAAATTTAAATGATGGCACCAAGTGCCATCTGTCTGCACCTCAGTTTAAAGTCTCTGTATACAACTGACACTATAAGCATTTTGTGATGTGGTTTTGTTTCATCACAATGAACTGTTTAGTGAATGGAAAATATCTTTAAACATGGATATATGATGCCAAAATCAGGAAACCTTCTCAAAGTAGTTAAAGTATATTAAATACAGGGGAGGAATTCATATTTTTTCTGTCTTTCAAGCATTTCATCTAATAAGTGCATCATATATGAATTATTAAATGAAAACATCTAGTTTGCCTGCCATTACAACAATGCACTAAAAAAGTCAGGCTTTTCTACGTTTTATTCAGATAAATAGTCACAACAAGAGTACAGAGTTTTTCTTAAAATTTTAAATAGTTGTTATTGATCTTTTCATGCTGACTATCTGATTTCTCTGTTTTTTTTTTATTTTTATTCTGTTATCTCCTGTCCTGTCCAGCAGAGGGACTCAGTCACAGTTCACCACATTGACTCAAAGCCGTCCACCAGTTGTTGTAATGTGGAATCAGTCCTAAAACAAGTTTAAATGATTGACTAGTTGATTGACAGCAAGGGTTCAGAGAACCTGAAGAGAAATTCCACTTGTTATAATGTACATTTAAAATCTTGTGTAGCTGAAGCAAAGTAAGTTCATTAAAAACGGAGGTTCACTTTCTGGAAAGTTATTTTTGAAAGATGTCCTATAAAATCCATCCATTATCTTTTACCCGCTTTTTCCATTTTGGATCATGGGGGTCGCCGGTGCCCATGTCCGGCAATCATTGTGCGAAGGGCGGGGTACAACCAGGACGGGTCACAAGTCCATCACAGGGACACAAGTCCATCACAGGGACACATAGAGACAAACGAGACAAACAACCATTCACTCTCTCACTCACACCTAGAGACAATTTAGAGTTACCGTCCTATAAAATCCCTTAACAAAAAGTAGTACATTTGAAGTTCATTTTTGCAAGTATACTTTAAGTTAAGTATATCAAGTATACTACACACCATACTTGTAGTGTACTAGAAAGTATACTGATTGAATCTAAAAAAGTTAAATCTGGTCCTCTGGATATTCAAAAATCAAAACAAAACAAAAAAAAATGTAGAAACGCTTCGTCTTTCATCCGAGAGACTTCCTCAGTCTGAGGCGCTGTTTTCAGCTCAGTCTCTTAAATAGCACCATCTTAGAGTGGATCAACCAGTTTTGCTGCTGACAACCAAAACCAGCTGATCACATGCTCAAGAAGGACCATCAGCCTAACAATGGGTCATTAGCACACTGATGGCTGTTTACTGTTCACAGAGGGCTGAGTGATACCAGCAATCACAGCATTGTAAGAGGGGGACAGTTGAACCCGGAGGCCTCCACCCCTGTTTAACGATGGACGATTTCTTTTCACAAAGATGGCCTCCTTTACTCCTCTCTCAAACCATCCTTCCTTTTTATCCTGGATGTGAACATCTTCATCCCTGAAAGAGTGACCGCTGGCCTGGAGATGAGTGTAGACCGCAGAGTCCTGGCCTGATGGTGTTGATCTTCTGTGCTGGTCCATCCTTTTGGCCATTGGCTGTTTAGTTTCCCCGATGTAAGACTGACCACAGCCCTCCTGACACTGAACAGCATACACAACATTACTCTGTTTGTGCCGGGGGACTGGATCTTTGGGATGAACCAGTCTTTGCCATAATGTATTTTGGGGTTTAAAAGTCACTTTCGTTATGTTTAGAAAATAAACGTCTCAGTTTCTCTGATACTCCCTCAACATACGGAATGACCACTGGTCTGGGTCTGGGTTCCTCCTTTTCACCTGTTGGCTGACTGGAGTCCTGTTTGGGTTTCTTCTCTGCTTTCAGGAAGGCCCAGTTAGGATATCCACATTGCTCTAGAGCCTGTTTTGTGTAGGATTTCTCCTTCTGCCTGGCTCCTGAGTTAGTGGGGATGCTGTCTGCTCTGTGATACAGAGTCCTGATGACTCCTAACTTGTGCTCCAAAGGGTGATGGGAGTCAAACTGCAAATACTGGTCTGTGTGGGTGGGTTTGCGGTACACCTCGGTTTGCAAATGTCCTCTATCAGAGACTGAGACCTCACAGTCCAAGAAAGCCAACCTGCCATTTTTTACATCTTCTCGTGTGAACTTGATGTATTTATCCACAGAGTTGATGTGGTCAGTAAAATGTTGGACTTCCTGAGATTTAATTTTAACCCAGGTGTCGTCAACATACCTGAACCAATGACTTGCTGGTGTCCCTGAAAAGGACGCCAAGGCTCTCTTTTCTACCTCCTCCATGTACAGGTTGGCAACAATAGGAGAAACTGGAGACTCCATAGCACACCCATGTTTCTGCCTATAATATTGCTCCCCATATGTGAAGTAGGTTGACTGCAGGCACAGTTTCAGTCAGCAGCAAACTGGTTGATCCACTCTGAGAAGGTGATATTTATAAGACTGAGCTGAATACAGCACCTCAGACTGAAGAAGTCTTTCGGATGAACGACGAAACGTTTCTACATTTTTTTTGTTTTGTTTTTCTTTTTGACTGTCCAGAGGACCAGATTTAACTTTTTTAGATTTTTCAACCTGGATTATTGAGCATGCATCAGGATATACTGATTTAATACTTGTTTGGACTAAATTGGGACATTTTTATACTATTTTAAAGTATCCTGATGCATGCTCAATAATCCAGGTAGAAAAATCTAAAAAAGTTAAATCTGGTCCTCTGGACATTCAAAAAAACAAAACAAATGCTGTTCAGTGTCAGGAGGGCTGTGATCAGTCTTACATCGGGGAAACAAAACAGCCACTGGCCAAAAGGATGGCCCAGCACAGAAGATCAACATCATCAGGCCAGGACTCTGCGGTCTACACTCATCTCCAGGCCAGCGGTCACTCTTTCAAGGATGAAGATGTTCACATCCTGGATAGAGAGGAACGATGGTTTGAGAGAGGAGTAAAGGAGGCCATCCTTGTGAAAAGAAATCGTCCATCATTAAACAGGGGTGGAGGCCTCCGTGTTCAATTGTCCCCCTCTTACAATGCTGCGATTGCTAGTATCACTCAGCCCTCTGTGAACAGTAAACAGCCATCAGTGTGCTAATGATCCATTGTTAGGCTGATGGTCCTTCTTGAGCATGTGATCAGCTGGTTTTGGTTGTCAGCAGCAAAACTGGTTGATCCACCCTGAGACGGTGCTATTTAAGAGACTGAGCTGAAAACAGCACCTCAGACTGAGGAAGTCTCTCGGATGAGAGACGAAACGTTTCTACATTTTTTTGTTGATTTGCTTTGTTTTGTTTTTTTGAATGTCCAGAGGACCAGATTTAACTTTTTTAGATATTTTAAAGTATATCAAATAAAGTTTATAAAAAGTAAACTTCAAGTACACTTCCTCATTTTAGTGTAAAATAAGTATATTTGTAGTACACTTAAATAAACTACTTTTTGCTAAGGAATGTTTTTATTTTAGGGCCTCTTTGTAGGACTAGATTGGGGATTTTGAGTTTTTGTCATGTTTTTTTCTTCCAAGGATCATTTGGTTAAGTCAAAGACTCAGCCTCAGAAACAGAGTAAAGGAGTGAAGACTTGAGGTTGGAGATTCTGTTGACCCTATGACCTGTCAGACAACAGTAGTTCAGATATAGTATTCATCTCTTAGCTGTAGATGCACATCAATCAGCAATAACATTATCAAGGTTCATGGTGACTTTATTGTCATTTGTCACATACATGTGGTACATGAGGTGGAATGAAATTGTGTACTGAAGGTCCCAGTTACACTCAAAAATAGCAAAAATAAAAACTATAAAAAAGAAAACAGTATTCAAGAATCTAAGATATATGCTAAACAATAATCATGTAATATAATAAGGTGTATTAAAAAGGGACTGGTGGAGCAGAGGTTAGAGAAAGTTAGCCTACGATCAGAAGTTTGCTGGTTCAACTCCCGGTACTGACAACGTCAAAATGTGGGTGGGATAGGTGAAGCACCCATACCTGCCTCCACCCTCATTTGCCCCACTCATTTGCCCTTGAGCAAGGCCCTTAACCTCCACCATCTGCTCCCCCATGTGCCCCATAGATAGCAGCAGCTCTCTGCTCCACACAGAGGGCTGTGGTGCTCGGTGGTCTGTGGTTGCTTCAGGAAGGACATCCGGTGTAAAAATATTTGCCAAGTCTTCGTGCGACTTAGTTTGCTGTGGCGACCCCTGAAGAAGGGAGCAGCCAAAAGAAAATAATAATAATAATCCATCCATCCATTATCTTTTACCCGCTTCTTCCATTTTGGGTCACGGGGGTCGCCGGGGCCCATGTCCAGCAATCACTGTGCGAGGGGCGGGGTGGACCCTGGACAGGTCTCCAGTCCATCACAGGGACACATAGAGACAAACAACCATTCATTCTCTCACTCACACCTAGGGACAATTTAGAGTTACCAATCAGTCTAACATGCATGTTTTTGGTCTATGGGAGGAAACCGGAGTACCTGGAGAAAACCCATGCATGCAGAGAGAACCTGCAAACTCCATCCAGAAAAGCTTCCGGACCAGGATTTGAACCGGGGACCTGCTCGCTGAGAGGCAGCAGCTCTACCAGTTGCGCAGCAGCAGCATGAATAAAGTGTCAAATCTCCAATTAAAATGGAATTACTGTGATTTTTCTGCCTTTTTTTTTTTTAACAGTGATTTTACTGGTTAGGGATTTATGAGTCTAACAGCCTCAGGGTAGAAGCTGTTCCTCAGTCTAGTGGTTCTACACTTAATGCTTCTTAACCTCCTGCATGAGGGGAGCTGGGCAAAAAGTGTGTGTGTGCTGGGTGAGTGGGGTCCTTCATGATGCAGTGGCTCTCTTCCTGCATCTGGAGGTGTAGATGTCTGTGATGGTGCAGAGGCTGACTCCAACAGACTTCTGTGCAGCCTTCACCACTCTCTGCAAAGCTTTTCTTTCTGCAGCTGTGCAGCCTCCATGCCACATGTTGATGCTGGAGCACAGGATGCTCTCCACTGCACATCTGTAGAAGGAGGTGAGGACTGAGCTTCTCAGACCAGCTCGCCTCAGCCGCCTGAGGAAGTAGAGTCTCTGATGAGCTTTCTTGATCAGGCTGGTGGTGTTGTTGCCCCAGATGAGATTGTTATTCAGTTGCACACCCAAGTACCTGAAACTGGAGACCACTTCTACCACAGAGATGAAAGTGCATTATGGCCACCACCAGCCTAATATTAAGAACTGTAGGTCACACTTTTTATACTTAATATTCAGATGGCTTTATGTTTACCAACACCCCGAGCATTAGTACATTTTTACTCTGTATTAGTGTCAGGTGTGAACCATGGATGTTTAGCTCACTTGATGAGGTGACATCAGGACCTTTTTGGGGAGTGTACTGTCTCTTTAAGAGAAGTTACCTGGGAGGAGGGGGACAGGTGTGAGCCGCTGGGACATCACGTTTAACTCACACCGTTTTTTTTCTCCACCGGGACACCTAAAAAAAACCCGAGGCCAAATGTGTCGGCTGGTCAAAGCTGGAACGAGGTATGTGACTCACTTCAGCTCTGCCGCTCTGCAGAGAGAGAGCTCGAGCCCTCACGCCAACTCAACCGTCAGTGACGTCGACGTCACGTGTGCGTCTCCTTCACTCGGTTACGTCCGTCGTTTAGCCTCGGCTGCTTCTAACGCCGTGAGACACTCGACGTAAACAAGCGGCGGAGAGAGAAACCAAGACGGCCGTCGACTGGACCGGTCCGGTACCGGTGTCACGTCTCTCACCGAGCCGATGGACTGAGGGGGTCTCACACCTTTGAAGTTGTCATCAGTGAAGCCCGAAGCTCGGGTCCGTTATTATTGGCTCCTGTGAGCTCATGTCGGCGTAAACTTTTTCAAACACTCGCCGAGCTCCAGCGGACGGTGAGTGGGCTCTCCTCGCGCACACGCTCGCTAATGTTTTGTGAAAGTTGACGCGGAGCTTCACCTTTGAGGGGGTTTCTTTGGGCTCAGAGGCGGCGCTGGCCAGCTGCATGTCGCCTTGCTAAAATGGCGACAAGCCTGCGGGAGGGGGGAGAAAGTGTAGGGGTTTTTGTTGTTTTGTTTTCGGGAGTGGGTCAGTTGGAGCCGCTTGCACCTCTGATTCGGTTCGACTGTTTGAAAGCACACGAGCCCGTGAAGTTTGGGACTCACTTCTAAGTTGAGCGGAAGATGCATCATTTATCTGACGCCACTCGGACAGCAGCTCGTCTTCTAACTGTAATATTCACATAGCTAACAACAACAACAACAACAACAACAACAACAACAACAACATAGATGTAGGAATCACGTATTGGTTGTTTACATTAAACTGAGTGATCTCCCTTGTCTCAAATGTGCCATCATGCATAAAAAAGTTAGAAATCACAGTCTCCCATTTCTAAAAACTTTAAAGGCATCATTGCAAAGCAATAAGAACCAGTAAAATATAATAAACAAAATCCACACAATATCTTATATCAGACTCAGTTAATTTGTCCTTTTTAAATAAAAAAATTGTAACCAAAACTTGCAGTTTCATTCCTGACAGTTGTCCTTGGCCTTTCTACCTGATACCGCCATATTTGTTTATCCACACAAACTACAGCCACCCTAATGTAGGTCAGTCAAGATCTTCATGTGCTGTTTGTTTACAGTGAGCGTGGACCCGCTTTTTGCATTTAATTGTATCCGGGAAAACTACTGGAGTAAATTAGTTTTAATTGCGCCATTTTATAAAGAAAAAGAGTTAGTACGCTCAATCATCCAGGTAAATAAACCACAAAAACACGTTAATCGTGTCATCTGGACAGTTTCTGTTTGGGAAGAAACGTTTCATCTTCCATCCGAATGACTTCATCAGGCGCCTCAGACTGATGAAGTCATTCGGATGGAAGACGAAACGTTTCTTCCAAAAAAGAAACTGGCCAGATGACGCGATTTAACTTTTTGTAAACCATTTTTGTAAAGTTTAACATTTTATTGTGTTGGAAATTGGAATTCACATTTTGCATTGAGTACGTTTTTAATATATTGATCCAACATTATGTATTGATATTAGCTGCTGAAATTTAGATTTTAGTTTAAAGTCACACTCTTTGTAAACCACATGCAGCTAAAGTTTTGTCTCACTATTACTGCATGTTACCCACCAGTCAGTAGGAGCCTACAAGCTGTTGTTGCCTTGGTCATTTATCATGCCAGAGTTGTCGTATGTATGTGTGTGTGTGCACACGTGTGTCACTCTAGAGATTAAAGCCAAGCTTTCTCAGGCTGCTAATTTGTGTCTGGTGTCCACGTGAGTCTCAGGTATAGACACCCAGTTTAATCCAGCTGTCTGTTTATCACCCACAGTACTCCGCTCCTACAACAAGCCAGTTTCCACATTACTGCTGGTGATAACATGTGGACTAACAACACCAAAGAAGGCCAGAGTTCACTACGAGCTGGGGAAATTATGGATCGCAGATGAAAATATGTTTAGTTTTTTTTTTTTTTTTATTCGTTATGCACGTCACCTTGCTTGGCTTCATTTTGTTGCCGTGGTGACAGAATGAACTCGGTGACTGTTTATCTGCTCTCTCAGCTTCAGGTTTGCAGCTGACGCACACTAAGAGCTGCTTTGTCCAGAAAGGCATGTCTTACCCTAAAGTCACTTTAGTTTCACGTTACTGGTCTCTGTCGTTATCGTCCAGTAACCGGCTGTGGACTGAGTTGAACTTTAGCAATTTTCTGAGTTTGTCAGACTTGTGTTATTGAATTTTCATCAGTGAGCTCTGTCTCTTCTGTGCACTATGAGAATTTATTTTGTAGTGTTTTTACCAGGTATGATGGTAAAAATAACGACATAAAACACAAGACTGCCTCAAGAATCTTTTCATTGTCTTGGAGGAGAGCAGTGTGGTCCACACTCGCGTCCAGAGTGGACGGGTTTAGGTCAGCAGCAGCCACTCGCTTCGTTTGGCTGGTGAACAGCTTGTGATGTCAGCCATCTTAGGTTGGACAACATCGAGCGTGGTGCTCCGCCATCTTTCTCTCCCTTCCCTCTCCGCAGCCCAGTTTTAACGCATGCACCAGCAGCAACCACAGCGATGCAGCCGCTGACAGCCCACGCAGCCATTCGCTTCCTGACCTGCGAGCAGTCCCACATGAGCGCTCTGGGATCAGAGGGAATGACACTGTATGAACGCTGTGAATGAGGTTTGCTTATCGTTGCCAGGGTTGTGTGAGAACTGGGACAGCCGTGGACAGAAGTTTAAATGTGCTCATGTGAGCATTTGCAGTTTTGAGCTTTGTTTGTCAGTGTCATTGTGACTGAGTGAAACCTTGGCTGTGATTGGCAGGAGGAACTAACGCACTACAAATATACAAGAAGTCATAGCAAAAAATGTGCAAACCCTGGAAAATGGGAAGGGTGTGTGTAGACCATAAGTGCAGATTTATTTAGCTGGAGGCCGTTATAGGGACACTCATGAACAAAATCTCATCGGCCTACGGTCCTGTTTACGTATCTGTGCCTTTCTGTCTGTGTCTGTTTCATTGCATGACTACAGCAGCCCTGTGTGACGTTGGGCCACTGGAGGCCACAGAGTGCACTCGTAACAGGGCAGTAAGGCAGATGTCTGGACAGAGACTGAACAGGAAGAGACGCCATCAGCTCCGGCCAATAGCACGCCTCAGAGATGGCGACCACACCCAGCAGAGAAACATGAACGCCGCGTGTGAGAAGCTCTGAAATAGGAGCAGGGCAGGGACTCTCCGAATACCACTCTGAGGGGCATGTGGAACAAACAAGCTCAGCTTGGGCCAAGGACTGGATGGCATAGGAGGTGTATGCATGTTTACCCACATGCGTGTGCTTTAGAGGAGCGAGCTGGTATAAAAGAGATGGGGGGGTAGGGGGTGGTTGCCATGGGGACAGTAACACACCAGTGCCACTGCCGACCTGTCTCCCTCAGCCAAACTTATTCGAATAGGGAGGAGAAGAGGGAACAGTGGGAGGGAGGGTGAGGATGTTTGAAAGGGAGGGGGAGTGAAGGCAAAGAGCCAGGAATGAAAGTTGTAAAAAAGACAAACTGAGAGGCAAAAAATAGAGCAAACCAGGTCAGGCTTACCTGCGTTGTACTCTTAGTATTTTCTTCTCCTTCAGGAAAACATTTGTTTCTCTCCCAGATGTCCCTCAACATCTGTAATCTCAGTGTAGCGGTGAACTGCAGGCTTTCTCAAGCGTTTGAATGCTCGTTTGTTCGCCTGTACTCAGAGCCACCAGCTGAGTTGTTAGAGCAGTCGTCCTCCAGTGCAAGAGTTGGGGGTTCGATTCCACCAAGTCACATGCCGAAGTATCCCTGGGCAAGACGCTGAACCCCTCATCACCTCCGATGTGTCCCATCGGTGTACGAATGCGATAAAGCTCTGATTATTATTTGTATAGACAGAGTGCTGTATGAATGGGTAAATGAGGACATAGATTGTAAAGTGCTTTGAGTATCTTGATAAGATGGAACGGTGCTATATAAGTACAGTCCATTTACTCAGGAATACGGTTGAGGCCACGGCAAGAGTCAGGCCTTGAGATGGAGTACTGGTCATACTGTGCTGATCCACAGATGAAGCAGAGATAATTTGGGTTTCCAACCAGAACATCCAAAAGATAGTCTGTTTTTGTGTGTTACTCCGAGAGATGTGACACACAGTAGAAGTGGCAGCCATACTACCTTGGTAAACGAGCTTCACACAGGCATGCGGACACCCACCCCCGCACGCCACACACACACAAAAAAAGGTATCGCACACGCCCTTGATCACCCACCCCCTCCTGTATCTCACAGGAAACCCACACATGCAAATACTGACACATAACAGACCCATCACAGCCACATGGTTAGTCAGCAAACACACAACATTCACTTTAAAGTTATCAGACGATCCAGGCTTCTTCTGCTGACTCGCCGTCACAAGAGTGAGTCAGCAGAAGAAGCCTGGCGTTTCTGAGGCGTGAGTGGCTCTGATGTAGCACAGGTTGTGTTCTGCCCGTCACCTGTGTGAGGCCTCTGGGACTCTGCTGGGTACGCTCGCTGTGCTGTGGCTCATGTCTGACTGGTTTGGTCAGCGTTGTGGTTTGTGAGTTGTTAACCAGTCCCTGCTGTGATGGTGCTCGTTTTAGCTGTTCTTTTCCCGTACGTGTGTGTGGACAGTGAAGCTGAACTCCAGGTTCTGTCGATTGGCAGAACATTCCAGGCCTCGCTGTGCAGAGGAGGGAGGGACGCTCTGTGTGATTGCACTTCGGAATAAGGAGGGGGCTCGGAAGTGCGGGGGTAGGCTGGTTGCAGGGGGTGTGGGGGGAGCACCACGGAGGAAAATTCCTTACAGAAACACCTCAGTGCTTCCTCCACGATAGTTAACACCCCCTCCTCACCTCGAAACAGCCTGCCCATCCCCCACCCTTCGCTCCTCTGCTCTCGCCTGCCACCCACACCCAACAGAACCACGTGATGGATGGCTGTGACTGCCCACCCATAAGCCTTTGTGTTGGTCATGTGACTGTTCTGCCTTGGCAGAGAGGTGCCCCTTGATGCAGAACTGAATGGCAGGGGGGGTGGGAGAGGTGCACAGTGGCCCAAGCCAAGGGCAGTTACACTCAGTGGGGTGGGGGGTGCGAGGGGGGACAAGGGGCATCACGTTCCCTCACAGTAGCAAACCTCAATAGTCTGTTAACCCCTCGCATGCAGATCCACAGCTTTCCTTACTCTAAGTTGTATTTTTCATCTCAGATTTATTTGTTTGTCTATTTCCACATAAACGTGCATGCTGTGATTTTTTTTTTTTCCCACCCCCTCTTTATTTATTTATCCATCCAAACTAGAATTAAGTTGCCTTCGGCCTCTGAACACACCAAAGTCTTTGTACCTTCTGTCACACCCTGGTCCTGTGGGGGTTAACTGAGCTAATGCACCATGACCTTTGTGTGGCAAACGAAGGATTCATGTGCGTGTAGGTATGAGAGAATCACAGTGTTTGCCATTTAAACATTCATGTTTGATCAGAGAAGAGGGGATTAATTAAATGATGCTGCCTCACATGTAGACAGGAACATGATGACACTGCAATGACCTCGTGTATAAATAATAATAATAATAAATAAATAGTTTTAATGTGTTCTTGAAGATGCTCTGGTGAGCCAAAGGAATGGTTCACATTTGGTCTACCAACCAGAATGGTGGCTCTAGTACAGCATAGGATGCTAAATGCCTTTGACACGGTGACGGGCAGCACCTCTTCCAAGATTTTGCGATATTTTGTCGAACACCTCTCAGCTGGTGCAGCTTGGAGAGCTTTGCCGCTCTGTGCGTGAGGTTTCATGTCGGGGCAGAGAGCAACTGGAGGAGTAATTGCCCTAGAGCTGTCCTTCAATCCTGCATCCCTGCCTCTGCTCTGTGGGGAAGGAAGGAGGAGCAAAGCCCTCCGCAGGAAGCTTCGCCATTTTGCATCAAGACAAAGAGACTGGAGATGCATCGAACGTTTTTAAAATGTGCGTTCTTACGCAAGTGTGTTTTTGTTGATGCTGCCTCTGCCGCTGTTGGGCGAAGAAGAGCACATCTTTCCAAGAAACATCTTCTGAACCTCCCACATCCCTCACTGTCAAAGTGCACGCCATCTTAAATGATATGAAATCATGAGTGGGACTTCATGTTGCAGTCTTTATAAAAAGTCTACAGAAACTGTGGATTGGGGAGAAAATACAGTGTTCTGTCTCTGGGGGGGGTGTGTCTGAAAGAGAGGAAGTGAGACGGAGTTGTATGGGGGAGGGGAAAAAAGGGGGTAGGACAGGAGCTCTCCCAAAAAGCCTGTAGTGAAGAAGCAGACTGAACTGGTTTGAATGGCATCCAAAAAGAGAGAGCTCTAAGTTTCAGGAGACAGGGTGGATGAGAAGACTTTTTTCAATTTATCTTTAAATCATGAATTGTTTATGAGCAGCTCTAAATTGCGGGGCTTCTGTTCGAAAGGTGATCATTCCTCCGTGGCTAATGTTTTAATCTGTTTGATTTGATTTTTTTGCTAAGAAGAGAGAAGTTTTTGCAGCACTGAAAAAAGTTATTTTTTCTCTGCATGTTTGTTTTTTTGGTCTGTCCTCTATTTGTTAGTTAAAACAGATGTCATAACTAAATTATGATTATTACTGATCTTAAATATGTTAAAATTTCTCTCGTCTTTTTTTAGGATTCCACTAAAAACCCTCTTAGACAACCACTTGGACCAATGGACAAGTCCTGCCATCCTTCTCCCTCCATGCCTGTTTTATAATCGAGAACCTTTTTGTACTGTTTAGTTTCCCATCCATTTGACCAGCTCTCCACACACCATGGCCAGCAAAAGAAAGTCGACTACGCCTTGCATGATCCCTAGTAAGACTATCCGCTCAGTTGAGGAGGTTGAGCGGGACTCTGCGGTTCCAGTTCGTCCACCCAGGATTTCCTTAAGCGACAGGCTCAGCCCTCTAGTCTCATTTGAGTCTTTCATTCCAGAAAGCGATGCTGGTACTTACACCTGCAAGTCATGTAATTTTGACACCCGTGACCTCAACCTGTTTTTGGATCACGTCTACACTGTGCACCCAGAATTCAGGGCGGACCCGGGATTCGTTTGCAGAAGCTGTGGAGTTTCGGCGCCCAAGTTTGAGGGGCTGGCCCTGCACAATGCCAGGGTTCACCCCAGCACATTGACCACCACTCTACACCTGAGGAGAAGGGACAGGAGGATGGTGGTGGAGCAGAACGTGGTGGTTGGGGCAGAGACTTGCAAGGACGGTGAGATTTCTATCACCAAAACCCCGATCATGAGGATGCTGAAGGGCAAGTCGGAATCCAAACGGATTGTTGTGTCTCACTCTGTCTCTGATGAGCCATCCTCAGATTCACACTGTATCTCTGCAATCAGAGAGCCTGAAAGAAAAGAAGCCGCTACGGTGACGGTCACCCACGTTCCTACAATTGTTCACAATGGAACAGCAAAGGCCACACTGCCGTCAGCGATTCAGATTGTTAATGGCACGACAACATTACCGATGTTAAAGACACCCATCACACAAGTAAGTGTCTTTTAGTGCCCAGACTTTTGTTTGTGTTCATTTCAAAGAAGTTAATTCACGTTCTTTATACGTTTATGCATTTTTTAGGTTGTTTCTGTCGCGCAAAACAAACACCTTCATCACTCTTCACCAATCACAGTCTCTTCAAATATATCCTCTTCTTCTTCACCTTCATCCTCTCAAAATCTACCCAAGGTAAAGGTTTTTGTGTCTAATATCAAAGTAAAAATGAGACATAAAGTAATTTAGTCGATTCATGCACACGTTCACATTTTTCTCTGCCAGGTGATGATCCCTCTGAGCAGCATCCCCACCTACAGTGCCTCCATGGACTCCTCTTCTTTCCTGAAGACCTCCTTCAGTAAGTTCCCGTACCCCACAAAGGCTGAGCTCTGCTACCTGACCGTGGTCACCAAGTTCCCTGAGGAACAGATCAAGATATGGTTCACAGCTCAGCGGTTGAAACAAGGGATCAGTTGGTCCCCCGAGGAGATAGAGGAGGCCAGGAGAAAGATGTTCAACACCATCATTCAGACGGCGCCGGCCAGCTTGCAGAACCAGACTCGAAGTCACCACAGCTCAGCTCAGCACACCATCACGGTTCTACCTGCCTCCCTGGGGTCCACAGGGATCCCTCAGTTTTTGCAGGGATCTCTTGTCAGCCAGGGAGGGGTTATAGTCACACAGCCTGTGGTGGCCAATGGTATCCAGGTTAGCGGCGCTCCTGTGGCCCTGGCGGTCACACCTAAGCCCCAGGCAGCAGCTCGACCCACCATGCAGGCCCGACCTGCTGCACCCTTGTTGGCAGACAAAGGCACCGGCATGGTGGTGGGTACAGTGGGCAGCAGCAGTGCAGGGAGCAACATCATCACCAGCAGTAAAAGTGGGGGAGGAGGTACTGGCAGTAGTGAAGCTGGTGCCATCAACCTTAGTCTTGGAAACAGCAATCACAGTAACACTAAGGTGAACAGTGTCAACGGTAAACGCAGCGGCGCTAAAGCCGACTCGGCAGACAAGAGCAATAATAATGTTAGCAGCCAGGCCACTTCTGAGAAAACTGATGCGAACAAAGCTCAGCCCAGAGTGGTGCAGAGTGACAGGAAGGCAACCACAGAAAGCAAAGCCGTAAACAATAAATCAAGTGACGATGGACAGAAGAGTGACCATGCTGATGCTAGCAACAGAAGTAACTCAGCTAGCTCCGATGAAGCTGATCCCTCTTCTAGTGACTCTTCAGCCATTAAAATGGATGAGGCTTCATCTCCTGCCTTGAAGTCTTCCTCGCCTCCTCCTGCAGCACCCCCCAGCACTACACCTGGCTCCCGGATTTCTGTCAACACATTGTTGGACCCCAGCTTTTACAAGGGGAAGAAGTCTCAGGTGCAGCTCAACACCCTGAAGGACAGTTTCCAGCTGAACCAGTGGCCTGACCAGGAGGAGGTGGATCGCCTCATCGCTCTGACTGGTCTCACTGTGCGAGAGGTCCGCAAGTGGTTCAGTGACCGGCGCTATCACTTCCGTAACCACAAAGGCCCTCGCTCCAGCGTGGCGGGGCCGAGTAAGCCCAGCACTGCATCGGGGGCAGGGAGCACACCGGTGAGCAGCACTGACTCTGAAAGTGGCACTCCTGTGGATCTGTCAGAAGGAAGCAGCAGCTCAGGGGCCAAGACGCCTCAGCCGAGCTCCCGTAATGCGCCCCCAAGCCCACCTGCAAAACAGTCTCCTACTTCTCCCACCACACCTTCCCGCCGATACCCCAAAGTGCCCTCACCCGACTTCACTGCCGTCCGCTACAAGGAGAGAGACCCCCATCAGGTGAGACTTGAACTCTGGTTTAAACTGGACTGAACCCATCACAGCTCAAACCCAATGATTGTTTTTAAGACAACTGTTGTTTCTCAGCTGAAGAAGAAATTAACCAACTGGTAAATAAAAACAACTTTAGAGATTAAAATATCAGATCTGTGCTCTTCATATTTTATGAAAAAAAAGTAATGATGTGTTTTGAACCCGTTGATGCTCCACTCATGTTGCATCTGTTTCAAAAAGTAAAAATGTACCATAAAATAATCCAGATGTAGCGTCAGGATTACCAGTACATACTTAACTGGTAATTAGATTTATGTGTCTTAAATGTTTCTTTTTTTTAATTTGTATGGTAAAAGGTCTTGTTTAAAAAAACGGCGTTGTGTTGCAGATGTACATTACGACTTCAAAATCATATCTGCACATGTTGATCGCTCTTATTTTTCACAAGTTAATAATCTCCAGCATGTGTTTATTTAGGTTAAGGCCCTTGAGGCCAGCTTTGCCCAGAACGCTGACCCAGCAGGAGAGGAAGTGGACCGGCTGCGCTCTGAGACCAAGATGACCAGGAGGGAGATCCACAACTGGTTTGCTGAGAAGAGAAAGAGAGTGGCAGCTGAGAAAAAGAAGGACGAGATCGACCAAGCGCAGAAGGAGGACGAGGAGGAGATGGAGGTTGATGCAGAGGACAGACAGAGAGACGATGGTTCAGGAGAACCAAAAGTAAACCCAATCAAGATAAACCTGAAGATGCTGAAGGTGACGGAGGCCAGTGGCAAAACGGAGGGTGAGGGGTTGGATAATCCCACTGTATCGACTCCCACTGTAACGACTCAGTCCAGCAGCACGCCTGCTTCCTCTGTCGTCCCCACCTCTTCCAGCACGCCTAAACTATCCCAGCAATCCACCCCAGCACTAAAAACGTCCCAATCTCCTAAACCCCCAATAGTCCGAGGCAAAAAGACAGCAGAGCAGCTGCATCTGCTCAAACAAGTCTACGCTCGAACCCAATGGCCCACCGCCTCTCAGTACGATGAAATGATCTCCGGCACCGGGCTGCCCAGACCTGAGGTGGTGCGCTGGTTCGGGGACTCCAGGTACGTGCAGAAGAACGGGCTGCTGAAGTGGCTGCAGGAGTACCAGAGCATGGCCCTGGAGGAGGACCTACAGGAGGAGAACACAAAGGTCCTGCAGGATCATCTTGACACGCACAGCAAACTGGAAGAATCACAGGTACTGATGATGGCAACATATTTATATGAACGATAAAAAGTGCTTTTTGCTTGAATTATAATTCTTGGAAGAACATCACAGTGACTCAGTTCTAGAGCTGTCGCCTCTCAGTGAGACGGTCGCTGGATTGAATCCCGGCCGGGGGCCTTTCTGGGTGGAGTCTGCTTGTTCTCTCTGTGCATGCGTGGGTTTTTTCTGGGTACTTCAGTTTCCTCCCACAGACCAAAAACATGCATGTTGGGCTGATTGGTAACTCTTAATTGACCCTAGGTGCGAGTGAGAGTGAATGGTTGTTTGTCTCTGTGTCCATGTGATGGACTGGAGACCTGTCCAGGGTGTCCCCCACCTCTCGCACAGTGACTGCTGGACATGGACACCAGTGACCCCCGCAACTCTGAAAGGAAGAAGCAAGTAAAGATAATGGATGGATGGGTGGTTCTTGCAGGGGGATACTCTCCTTTTTTTGTAGATTTTTGGGGGATTTTATTCTTTTAAAGTAGAAGACACTTTGGGGACTCTGAAACACTAAATGAAATTGCAGCTCTGATTGGAAAAAAATATGATTTTAACTTGTCATTTTCTGTGATATATGATCACAGGCTGCTCGGTAAATTACGTTGCAGCTTTGCTTTGACCAGTTTGAGTTGCTGGCTGTGCTTAATGTGGAACCTTTTCTACACACGCTCTTCCTGTACTTAAAACATCTGAAGTCACATCATGCCTCCTAAAAGTCAGTTACAGTGGATGGTTTTAAAGCAGAATAGTCCTTCCATCTGAACTCCACACGTTTGTGTTTTATAGCTCGCCCACATGACTAAAACGTGGAGTGTTCTCAGAGTTCGAGGTGTCAAAAAGGAAACTTCTTGTTTGATATGAAACTTATTCAAGTTTTCCACAGAAATTACCCATCAGACCTCAGGTCTTGGGTTTTCTTTTTGTCCAAGAGCCTCTTGTTCATTGAGAATCACCTAAAAATACACAAAGCCACACCGCTTTTAATTAAAAACATCTGGTATTAATTTTATGCTTTTTTGCTGATTTTTCAAAGCTTCACATCAGAAGTTGTTTTTTTTTTTTAACTTTTTGCATCAAATCACCTCTGCGTTTTTTCTTTATTGCTTTTAAAACCTCAAGCCCATGATTTGAAAATGTCATGCGTTAAAGGAATTAGGAAACAAACTAACTGTAAAAAGAAGAGCGAAGCATTTTCATTAACAGTAATGTGAGCCCAGTCACCATATCTCACTGAGAACGTGGAGTTTTTCCAGCTTGTTTGCATAAATCACCAACTTCAATCAACCATTTCTTTCTTTTTCAGATTTGTTGAATTTTATAAACATGTTTTTATTTTTAAGAAACTGAACAGATTTGACTAGATAAGAATTCATCAAGACAAGTTATCTGCCGACTTGTATTTTTTTTTAATTATTGTAGTTGAATATAAAGCAAAAATGTTATTCCGGATGTTTGCATGCAAATAAGTATCTGCAAATAAAGGGGGTGCAGTGCACAAACACTACAGAACAATATTTTCTTAACTGAATCAAAGCAATAAACAAAAAAAGTAGCAATTTTTTTTTTTTTTTTTTTGTGTGTGTGTGCCTATACATCACTTTTTCTGGTTTGAAAAATTCAGCCCCGAAATGAAGCCGTACCTAAATCTAAAACGGTTCGGACTTTCCCCCCCACAGGTGCAGGAGCTGACTGAGAGCAGTGGTTTGACAGCAGACCTGGTGCGACACTGGTTCTCCACCAGGACGACCCTGCCCGGGACAAAACAAGCTGCTGCTGCTCAGACGACGGGACCAGAACCAGTTGAAACAGGCGTGGCAGCAGAGCTACCAGGATCCTCCCCTCTGGAGCCGAGGCCAGGAGGCGGGACGGAGGAGAAAATGGAGCAGTCGGTGTGTGGTGTCACGTCCGAAGCTGGAGAGGCCAACGCTGACGAGACGCTGAACGCTGCTGAAGGTAACCGTCATGCCTCGAGTCAAATTCAGTTAAAAACCTTAAACAGAGTTGGAAAAATAAAACAATCCAAAGTTCAAACTGTTGGTTCATTTTTTTTTCTTGAAGGTAACGCTCCAGAACCCTAATATATTTAAACATGACAGATGAGCAGGAAATCATCCGTAAGAGCCAAAGTTTTGTTTGGCAGGTATTAAAAAAAAAAAGCTGCATGAACGCTGCTGTAAGAGTCAGTCAGGTGGAACCCACAAACATGATTATCATAAAAAGGCAGGATGTGACCGAAACGTGTTGAACACTGGGTAAAATGTGACGGTGATTCAGAGTTGTGTATATTTAAAGCCTGTTGGAAGAGTGACGTGTTTGTCGTTCCAGGAACAGAAGAGGCCGTCGTATGATGGTGGAGCTCAACGCAGGCGGTCTTTGTTCTGGGAGGCTGACTACAAGACAACAGATGGACTCTGTAACGGGATCACTGGATGGAAATGGATCCTGAATCCATCTCCACCACTCACCCCTTTTCCTACTCTCACCCCTTAGAGGTAGGCATGCCCCCCTCACCCCCCCGCCCCGACCTCCAATGCAAACGACTCCATCTCCATTTTTTTTGTCCGTCAGCCATTTTTCCCTTCAGGAGTTTCTTGTAGAAACAGAAGTGCCGGTGTGGAGGCTGACGGTGTGCTGGTTGGCATTTGGACATTTTATCTGCAGCACTTGAACACGTGTCGAGTCCTTGTCTACAGAAAACTGCACAAATCTTTGCTGCAGGGTGCTTGCTGAGGCCTTAGAGGAACCTCTTTTCAGTCGTTTTGAATTCTTGCTATCGTTTTCCATCATGTTTGCTGCTTACGTTACATGTACAAGCCAGGCTGCTTCCAGTTCGTCTTCATTTGTAAATGGACATTCAGTCTTTTTATTCTTTGCTTAGAAAGGAAAAAACAACGTCTGACATTGAATATTGTTAAAACAAGGCTCTCAAAAACACCCAACAAAAAAAACAACACTCCAGACTTTATAGATAAACGGTTTGTGTTGTAGCATCATGTGCTGCTTTTACGTCAGACATGTTTGTTTTTAATGGAACTTTCTTACTGTGCAAAAACATAAGACTGTAAAACCAGTGAACTTTACCAGTTTCACACTTAAGCTTGGTGTATAATTTTTACAGATGTATTTGCAGAATAAACGGAATGTAAAGAGTTTGTGCCTGCAAGTCATTGGACTGAGTGATGCACAGCATTATTAAGAGCAAAACATTAACGGTCAACCCTTTAATCAAAATGATGAATTATACTTCGTACATAATGGTTTAGAAAACAAATGTACGGTCCTGCCTGGAAGTTCTCAACGTTTTTAGAGCTGCAGCTTGAATCAGCCTCTTCTTCTCACATCTTGAAGAGAAACCAGAACGTTCATGTCCTGTGCTGCAGCGTTGAAGTAAAAAATGTTTAACATTAAAATAAAAATAGGACCAAGTTGTATAAAGCATCGAGTATTTTTATTTTGTTTTTATTCCAGGCTTGAATATGTTTTTATATGAAAGGCAAAATTAAAATTAATACTTTTCTTTGTAGTTTCAGAGTTTAGGCACATTACAGGAAGGCAAATGTAAATGAGGTTATCTCTAGCAAAAAAACAAAACAAAATTACAATAAGTGTCCATGTTTTTTGGATGGATCGGACCTCATTACAGGTTAGTGGGGAAAAATATTCTCCCCCAGACGGGGACGCGTGTTTCAAACGTGGCCTCTACACGTTTACACAGCGCTGAGCTGCATCAAGTCCCAAAACACGATGACACCTGTGTGGGTGCTTTGTGCTCAGCGGGGCAGCTTTAATTTGATGATGCAGACAGGAGGCACAAAGATCTGCAAACAGTCCAGGAATAAGAGCGATGCAGCACTAGAGTGGGCGCTCCACAGAGAACACACACATGGGGGGGTAACAGGAAGGGGGTTGAAATACAACAAAATGCTGAAGATCCTGCTTTTACTTTAGATCAACCCATATGGCTTATTGGTGTGTGTCAGTATTCAAACACGGAGTAAGATTACGGAGCTTGCAGTCGTCATGCACAAGAAAAAACCCAGTTTCAGAGTTGTATCCATACAGATGACACCGTGGGTTCAAGCCCCGCTCACTCTGAGCTCAGCGTGGCCTTAGACCTCATTTATCAGCCACAGAGACAAAAAAGTGACCCAACTGAACTCTGGTCCTCAAAAAAAAAATTATGACGACTAAAACGTTTGAAACAAGTCATTTATGTCCAACTCGTGTCAAATACATTTCTGAGCAGCTGCTTTTTGACTTTGTGTAACAGCAGCGCAACTTAAAATCATGTTTGAAGAAGCTCGATGTGACAGAACTCCAGGAGCAGCAAAAACACGACTGGTCTTCCTGTAGACCAACTCTTGGTGCGTGCTGAACAGAAATACTGAACATAATTAATCTGACACACTGTAGACGCAGTGAAAGCATAAAACTGCCACCCTGCAGAAAAACGAGCACTAAAAACGGACTTCTCTAACCGTCGCCTGTTCAGTACGTTTGTGAGCCGGTTTAAACAAAAACTGCTTCATCAACACACAGTAGGCTTGAAATGTTAGTTTAAATTGAAAGGATTCAGATTTACAAACGCTGCATCAATATTCCTCAAAGCTTTGGACTTTGGGCAGCTTTATTAATGACGTGGCAAAACTGAAGCGTTTTGGTTTTTCTGAGTTAATGTGTACTGACTTGGTGCTCCATACACTACCAGACTGCGGTTAATAATGATCAGCATCTACGCAGCCGACTCCTTTAAGTCACAAAGACACCTGCGTGTTAAAATGGGTATTAATGGGAAAAAAGACGTGAAGCAGTCGAACAATAACCAGTCACAATCAGACAACCTGTTGTAGGTTGAATTTCCTTGTACCTGCATCATCACACAGATGTTACATGATGCCTGAAAGGTCTGTAAAAACATTTAAATAAAAGTTTAAACGTTGCAGACTGGCTTGTTTAAAATAAAAAGTTAAAATGGAGTGGTTTGATTTTTTCTTGGAATGTAAGACAGGAATAATAAAAGGTGAAACTATGTGCAGAAATGCTGCTTGCTCTCTTGCCCTTTGTAACTTCTTCCCGACTCCTTTAAGAAAAAAAAACTATTCGTCCACATTTAAGGTACGACTTAAACAAGAGACGCATAATGTCCTCCACAAAGCAGAGGTTAAAAATAGCCATAAGGAGCCCTCATGTTTTACACTAACAAAGTCACGTTATGTTTAAAAGTTTAAATAATTACAATAATTAAAAACACGGAGATGAGAGCTCTTTGAGAGCACGTTGGCTGCTGCTGTTCTGACCGACAGCACAGCAGGAATAAATATATATATATTCAGATACAGCAAAAAGAAAAGAGCAAATAAGCTTGACTGGAAACAGTTTCGAACTGAGACCTTTCTACACCCCCCCCCCCCCCACCCAAATAAGCAGCTGTTGTGCACAACAAAAACAAGAGATCACAATCCGCCCCACAGAGCACAGAGTCCAGGACCAGAACTTTGTACAGTCTCGCTTTTTGTTTTTCTGTCAGTGTTTCTTCTTCCTGTCCGCAGCCGTCAGCTTCCTCTCTGCGACCCCAGCCCCTCCAGCGTCTCAGCCCCTCCCTCATCGAGGAGGGAGGGGGGGATGTTCGAGGAATAGAAGGAGGGAGAGCTGCCTGAAATGTAGGCCAAAGCAGTGGTGGGCGTTTCCATGGAAACAGTGATCACAGCAGTCAGTGACATCATCAGTACGTGGAAAGGCGGCTGGGTGGGGGGAAAGGTTGGGGGGATCGGGGCTGACAGAACTGAGTCCTGATTGGCTTGGACTTAGACGCGGTTCTCTCCGCCCACTCTGGCCCGCCGCAGGATCCTGAGAGAAGACAAAGACAGGAGGACGTCTTGAATATCGAACGTCCTCACAACTCCAAGCATGAGCACACACGCCTCTTACTCTGCACACACACACACACACCTTCTGTTCTGTGGGTCCATGTGGTCCAGCAGAGCCTCCTGGGTCACCCTGAAATCATCGATGGGAGACTGATAGCGAGATTCAAAAGAGCCCTCCCTCCCTCTGTAGGCCAAGGCCTGAGCCGGCGACGAGGGCAGAGGAGACATGGAGGAGGAGGTGGAGGACACGGAGCTCAGCTCCCCAAAACGCTCCCGCCCTATTTGGGTTGATGCTGACACTGTTGTGGGCCCGACGGCAAAGAACGGGCTCATAACTTCACCGTTTTCATCCTGAAAGAAAAGGAAAGTTAATTTACAAACTGCCACCCCACAGAGTCTGATGGTCACCAGCTCATAGTAAGACAGACCCCTCTTCTACCAAAACCTTGTGGGAAAAAATATTTTTAGTTTAAAAAGCCTTCATAGTTCACGTACATCTGGTTACTTCAGTTAAACAGTCTTGTAAATTTTATAAATTCTATGGCTGTACATCAACATTAGGGGTGCCTTAATTCATTTTCAGAAATCAGCCGATACTTGCACGACAAAACGATTTTACCAATTTTGTTTTGTTTTAACAACAATTGTCTGGACTTCATTTATATTTCAGAGCACTACCTCATGGCCAGTTAAAACAAGTATGTATTGTTTAAAGGGTATGTTTTTCACTAAAATAAGATTGGAAAATTGAAGTTGCATTGTGACCTTATAACACCTGACAGTGTCGCTTATAAAACAAAATCAGTATCTGCCAAAATCAGAATCGGCAGGTCAGACTTTTTAGAAATCGGTGATGGGTCTGAAAACTGCAGTCGGTGCACCTCTAATCCACGTACATAAAAAACATTTATTCATACGGTTATTACACATTCAAATGCGAAACAATAAAGCATGGGAGGAGGAAAAACATCACATCCACGCTGCAATTGCACATAAAACATCTGTAGAGCCTCTCCTGTTCTTAATGGGGTGGCATGTGAAGTGCAGGAGCTGTACCACACCATCCTGGAAAACACATCTGACTGCCAGACAAATGCTTTTTTCAAACTTTATGAAAAATATGTCCGCCTCAACAAAACTGTAGCCAAGATTTGCAGACATTACCTGGACAAGCTGTATTTTAATACCCGAATGTCCGAATCGTTCCAAACCAGACGTGGCACGGACTTTAACCAGCAGCCCTCATTTAAAGTAAAGCCCAACTTCATTATATAGTTTTAGTAAATACCATCATCACTGCATCTATAGGAGGTACTATAAGGCTCGCCTTAATTTTAATAACACTCATTCTTGTACAAAGTGCAAAATTACAGCACATATAGTCTATGTTTAGAGTTTATGTGCAACTTCAAGATGAAGTTGGTGTTTCAATTTCTACATAACTCGAGGAGCGCATCGACCCAGGCTGCTTCATGTCTTTTCTTATGAGCAGGAAAAGAAAAGGTGGGTCAGAACGGTAACCTACCCTGCCTCTCATGATATCCACGTGGACTAACAGAGAAGCCAACTCCAAATCTTCGTTGAAGCTGTTCTTCAGAGGGACTGACCGGTAGCCTAGAACAAAAAAACAACAACACACAAATACGGTCAAATAAAGTTTAGAGTCCGTTTTCTGTTAAGTTTTTTAAACGCGTACCTGGCTTGAGGCCTTGAATGGGGAATGTGGCCTGAGCCAGAAAGTTTTGGTCATTGAACATGTCGATTTCATAAACCCCAAACCGCAGGAAAGCAAAGGCAGAGTTGCACACGGTGAACTGGAACGGCTTTCTTGGCCACGTGGGATTAAGACCATTATTAGCTGGAGATGACAAAAAAGAGTTTAGTTATTACACATAAAGCAGTTTGTGACAGATGTTTTTTTGCCTTTCGTTGATCATTACAAACAGTAATATTGTTATATTTGGAGAATAAAGATCATTGCCACTAAGAGTGATGTCAAAGTATCCAAACAAAATCAAATGTATATCAAAAATCACTATGATCCAAACAATGGGGCGTTTGTCACAAGGCTTTCTTGTCGGAATAAAACCTGACTAGCTAGAATTGTGTCATCACAATGCAATGTTTTTGTTTTCCAAGACATGGCTGAGTTGTTTGTACAACTTCCTGTTTTTCCAGGACCAGAAAGGAAATGACATGAAGACAAAGTATCCAGTAAACAAAAACACATTTGTACAGTTTAGGATAGTATTCTGGCGTTTGCTCAGATACTTGTTGTTCCAACGAAACCTTACCTTCTGAGTCGGTTTTTTGCTTGGCATTGTCATACTCCGCTCCACACACCTCGATCTCTATGAGCGGACAAACGATGCCTCGGCCATGCTTAGGCAAGTGCCGTGCACCCAAGACCTTTGGACGATACAGACGGGACAAGTTACAACTTTATTTTAATTACAGTAAATCAAAATGCACACACAGTATACACCAAATTCCTCAGTCTATTAGCAGGGGACAGTCATGTTGTTGTTGTTTGGCCTAATAACTTTATGGTACTCCCACATGTTTCTTTTCAAATGTAAACTCATCTATTTTAACATTTTACCTCCACTATTTCCTCAGTAAATCCTGAAATTCCAGGAGATCTTTCAGTTTCTTGGAATGCTCAAACCTTAGCATCGTAGGTGGCGGACAGCGGCACATTCAGAGGTGACAGTAAGTTTACTGTAGCCTACGTTATGTACATACAGCAATCACTTCTTATGGTTATGTACACTGAGGTACACATGAGATATTAACAGTCACCATAGCTAATCAGTAAGGATGTAAACTATAGAAGCAAAACAAGGATTCATTGATACTAAAATATTAGTCTTAATATAGGTACATGTTAAAATCTTAAAAACATCAGATTAGTGTTAAAGTTCCTTAAATTTTCCCTTTCTGGAAAATGTGAATGTCATTTTCAAGGTTTTCCATGATTTCCAAATTTGCTTTGAACCTTCCTTTAAAATGCAATGCTTTATGGAAGCATGTAATGGCAAGTAAATTCATAAATAATGGGAAATAAATTGTCTGTTTTCTTTAACAACATTAAAAGTACAAATAATCTGGTGAATAGTGAGGTCTGCAGGGTAGTGATAATCATATCCATCTTACTTTGAGACTTAATGTAACTGAAATTTGGTTTCACTAGTGTGTACAGTAATTCAAAATGAGCTCATCTTAGTTTCCATTTAGATGTATTTAAGCAGAACATGTTATGCTCACTGCACAACTAAAATGTGTGTTAAAATATGTTAAATCAGATATGGCTTTATCCAATTACTGCAATAATAAGGTTCGTAAAACAAGACTCAGGAATAACCTCATACACAGTTTGCCTCAGCAGCTTTCACTCCAACTTTTCCACTCTGTCTGGAAATCTTTCCTGACAAACTGCAACCTTCTAAACCCAGTTCACACCATCCAGTCCTGTACCTCTATGACGAGAGTGACTTGATCGACTCCTCGAAGTGTAGGTCGGTCAAACGGGTCAAAGTTGTCGTCCCTCATAATGGGAGGCTGAAGGATGTAGCCGCTCCGTCCATTTAGCATAAACAGAGCCTGGTTCATCTGCATGGGCTTGTCTGCACGCAGAAGTAAAAGATAAAATAAAAGTTAGGAATGTGAAGTTCCAGTTTGTGCAGCTTTTTCTGGTCTGAGAAAAAGTTACATACCTGCTGTCTGGAAGTTTAGTGCGACCAGCTGGGAACCGCAGAGCCACATGGGGAGAGGGTCATAGTTGGAGGAGTCTAACCGCTGGCCTCTGGGGTAGATCCTTGACAGCTGCAGCCGGTTGTACTGCAGGAACTTCTTCCCCTTGATTTTGTTGACGTACTTTTCTGCTTTGGTCTCGGGGAAAGATGACATGTCACGGAAACATGCCCGCTCTGTGCCAATCTCTGCGAAAGGCACAAGACAAATTTAACCCTCCTGCGTTGATGACGGCTCCTCAGGGTTCAGTTAAAACACATCCAGGTCAAGTTTATTAAAGAGCAGTGAGTGTGCAATGCTTACTCTCTTCATCAAACGGCACAGGTCTACAGTAGACAACTAGCTCTGATAACTCCAGTGCAATCTTCTTCCTCCTTTCCATCATCTTCCCCTCCTCCAGCTGGACACAAAGAGAACCATGTCAGAACCAACACATTACTTCACCGACTGAAGCCTTCTAACACACCCACTGTGCACCGTGAGAAGGTTCCGAGTGTATTTCTTCGTACCTTGGCCTCTGAGGTCATGGCCACTTCACGAATCTTGAGCACCCACTGATTCAGTTCTTCTTGGTTGGAGGCAGCCACATCCAGAACCTGACGTGTAGGGCTATTTGACACCAGGGTGAAGACGTGCGGTCGGCTGCCCTTCCCTTCAGGACGAACAGCTGAGAAGAAGTGGGAACAAAAACAACAAAAGATGACAGAGTCTTTGATTTACCTTGAGTTTTTTATGATTTCCACTTTATTTCACAATGAACAATAAAAAGATACAATAACATTTGTCTCTTAGCATGGTCAGCTGTAATTTAATCGTTTTTGCAACAAAACAAAAATCAGAAAGTAAATCTCAAATATTCTGAACTTTATCTGAAAACCATGACTCAGCAGGTTTTATCCATCACAGATGATGCAAGAAAAAAAAGTTTTGAAAGTTAAATCGTACAGGTTTTCAAAATAATAGAAAAGTAATTTCCCATGTAACCACTAGATGGAGCTCGTTAGTCACACTGGTTAAAAAAAACCTGGCATTGGTCAGTGAGGACATCAACGCAGAACAGCAAAATAATAACAATAATATAATAATAATAATAATAATAATAAGAAGAAGAATTAAAAAAAGGCAGAACAGCCTGTGCTAAGGCTTATGTTATATGCCTAACAGTTCTAAATATGTTTTAACAAAATATCTGATTAATAATGTCAAATGCAGTTTGTCTAAAAATTGGCGCAGTTTGTAGAGCTGCTGTCTCTCAGCAAGACAGTTGCTGGATCAAATCCCAGACGGGGACCTTTCCGAGTTGGGTTTGCATGTTCTCTCCGTGCATGCGTGGGTTTTCTCCGGGTACTCCGGTTTCCTCCCACAGACCAAAAACATGCATGTTAGGCTGATTGGTAACTCTAAATTGTCCCTAGGTGTGAGTGAGAGAGTGAATGGTTGTTTGTCTCTATGCGTCCCTGTGATGGACTCGAGACCTGTCCAGGGTGTCCCCGCCTCTCACACAGTGATTGCTGGACATGGGCACCAGTGACCCCGTGACCCAGGGATGGAGGGAGGGATGGAGAGAGATAAAACATGTTATTATTCGATCTTTATGCATGCTCAATAGTCCAGGTAGAAAAATCTAACAAATTTGTCCTCTGGTCAGATTAAAAAATAAAAAATTTGTTGAAACGTTTCGTCTTTAATCTAAAAGACTTTGTCAGTCTTTTAAATTAAAGACAAAACGTTTCAACAAGTTTTTTTTTTTTTTTTTTTAAACCATCCAGAGGACCTGAACTAACTTTGTTAGATTTTATTATTCGATTTTAAGGTTTTGCAACATCAGATTTATTCTTTAATTCCACTTTTATTTCAACCCCAAGGACATCTTAAGCATCTAGTTGTGCATTTATTTATCTATTTTAGATAAAAACTTGTTAACATTTCCAAGATTACTTTTCATAAATGCTGAGGCTACATTTCCTAAATCATTGACTGATGCTGAAAAAGTTGGTTTGTGCTTCCATTTCTGGACTAGGCAGAGTTAAACCCAGCTTAAAGAGAATGGTGCACAAAGTTACTGTAATAATTAAATAAAACATGTAAACGTTTGAGTTTTCCATCTTCACTTGCTTTCAGTAAATCAAATGATTTAAGAAACTCCCTTTTCTTAAACCTATAAAAGCTAGACTCCCTCCTGTGTTGTTGAAATGCTCTTTAAAAACAGATCATCAAGTAAAGGTCTTCTCACCATCAAACAAACAAAACAAAACAAAACATATATATATATATATATATAGATGTATTTTGATGTACTTTTATACCTACTCCCTCAAACATCTACACAAGTTTGAAAACAAAATCAACTTGTTCTGAAGTACTACATGAAAAGACACTGATTTTGGCCCAAACTGCCATAAAGTAAATGATCATTATACCTTTTTGCAGATGGAGAAATGTGCATGTATGTCAGTCTGAACTGAGGCCCTCTGCACCGCAGCAGTCTGACAGGAAGGGGAGGAACTACTCACCAATCTGACAGGAAGGCACATCCACGCTTCCTCTCAGTAGATCTCCAAGAGGGCTGTTTTCTGTCATCTCCTGCTTGACAAGACAAAGATCATTATTAAAGCTTTTGATATCAAACATTTTTATTGATACAAAGGTCACAACGGCCTCCTGGGAGAATGTATATGTGGCTTGAAATTATTCTGAAGAGAGCAGGTGCATTTGTTCAGTTTTAAAAGACATAAATGTGTTACAGTATTCGTTTCTTATTGAATGGGTTTGATCCTCACGGTTCTGTCAGGCTCTGCTACTCCTTGGCTGATCTCCTCCACGTAGTTTGCAGGAAACCACATCTGCTTCTTTCCTCCACTGTCGCCTTTCCACCTGTGTCAAAGAGTTAGGAGACAATGACTCAGAGAGATGAAATTCTTTGAATACTTTAAACTTGCTTCGATACAGATGAAATCAATGTCCCAACACGGCAGCATCATTCAGTAGAGTTCACTCCTCTCGTGTGCTCGAGCCTTTCTCCTTCCAGAGACTAAACGGATCAGCCTAAAATGGAACTGCAGCTTCTTGTGCTGTTCACTCACCATCCTCCTTCCTGTTTGTCTACGTTGGTGATGACGGCGTTCTTGGTGAAGGAGAGCTCGTCGTCTCTCTGAGCTCTGTACTCGTACATGGCTCGCACCGTGCACTGAAACGACAGCGCAGTGTTACGGTGGAATAGTCACAAGCGTGAGTGGTTCACAACATGTAGAGCTCTCCGATTTAAAGCATCACCTTGAAAGTTGGCATTTGATTAGCCTCAACATAAAAGCCAGGATTCCTGCCTTCATACAGCGACCCGTAATCTGGCTCCTGTTGAACACACACACACATTGTGTTGTTTTCCCCCACACCATGAGAGGTTTCTGACTGAATTATTATCAGACTTTGATACATTTTAATCTGGTAATCATGGTGTCAACCACCCAGTAAGGTACTCACAGCAGTGCCGATCTTCTCCAGTGTGTCCTCGTTGATGGGATAGCGCAGCTTCATCTTGCGATACAGAGGGTGATGTTCGTAGTAGCTGATGAGATCTACTAAGCTGTCGAACTCAGAGGTGCCCAGCACCACAGTCTGACCTTCTTGCTGAACTCGACAGTGCTTGATCTTACCCTCAGCCCTGTAAAAAAATTAAATTAAAAATCATAAGACGCCTAACTTTGATTCATCATGTAGGTCTTTAGGATTTGTGTCAAAACATTTAAACAGAAGTTACATTTAAACAACACAAACAATCATCACCTAATGAATCAGTGGGCCAGAGTTACCTGAATGAAATGGCAAAGGAGTTGGGCTCAGCTCGCTTCCTGACAAGAAAAGCCCCATCACGAGGAACCCTCATCAGCATGTTCTCTGCCTGACTCCTCGACAGGTTGGCATGGTACCACCTAGACCAAGTAAAAAATAAAAAAAACATTAATGAAAACAGGTAGAAAATCAATGCAGGGAATCATGTATTTCCAAACAGACGACTCTGATGGTTCTAGTAATAGTTACAAGTCGTATTCAGAGTTTAATTTAAAAAAATGAAGAAAAAAAAACCCTCCTGTAGATTTGTGAAGTTAAATAAGCCCTTACATGTGTCCTTTAATGTATGAGTGGAATTCTCTATGATCAGTGCGACGACTTGTAGACTCACTCTTTGCTCTCGTGGGCGTTGGTCTGAGGCACCGGCTCCGTCAGCTTCATCTCAAACTCGTTACAGCGCAGCGCCACCTGCTGGTAGTGGCAGATTAGGGCAAAGAGCGAGTCGAACACCAGGTTGTCAGTCAGGTAGAACTTGGGGCTGCCGGCCTCTTGGCGAGAGTGGATACGACAGTGCTGCACCCGACCAGAACGCCTGTAACAAAGACAGGTAGAACTGTGATATGAGAGATAATGACACCAACAATGGATCAGAGTTGGGTCCAGGTTGAGAACAACAAAACACTTTCATTACTCTTCCACTTGTTAACCTCCAACATTTTGCTCTTGCACCATCTGTGCACTGGTTCAACAGACTGGATGTAAATCACACACCATCTAATTAGTTGTGAAGTAATTGCACGTATGCAGGTTGTTTGCATAAACAGAAGCTACTGATAGCAGCTGAAACTTCGACCGCAGCCGAAGGTGCAGAGATTGACATTGATCTGCTGATGTGGCACTTCACTGTTTACTAAAACTTATCTCACACAACGCACAAGAGGCTTTTGAGTTAATACAGAACACACTTTTGTTTTAATACGCACACCAATCAATTTATCAAATTAAATTTTAAAGTGGTCATTGGTGTAATTGGGTGTTCATGTGAAAAAAGTAAGCACTCTCTTATTCTCAGCTCCAAGATCTAAAGTCTTTCATTTCAGAAATGTGGACAATCTGGCACTTACATGGTCTTAGTGTTGGAAAATTAGACCTTCAAATGAAAAACAACATCCCTGTTGTCACCGTTTACAAAACTAAGCCAAAATTATTTATTTATAGACATTGCTTCATGTCACTGAGTTTGACAGCCTCAGCATTTCAGCCAGTTTGAGTTCTGGACTTTGAGATGTTGTAACACCTTCTGTCTTTTCTTTTCAGGCATTTTTCCACTGTAGATTTGCTGCTGTGTTTGTCCAGTTTCAGACAACCTGAAATTTGACACTAAGACAGTTTGACATTAAAACGAGTTTATTCATCCATCCAACATATTTACCCACTTCTTCCTTTGTGGGTCGCTGGTGCCCATATCCAGCAGTGGCTGTGTGAATGGCAGGAGACACTCTGGACTAGTCCCATAAAGAAATTTGTGGTTGAGTTAATTTCCATATTTTTTGGCCTATAAGTTGCTTTTCTTTTTGTGTGCATAATTTACATGCCTTGAAACTTATAGGCCGAAGCAACGTATTTATGGATCCCCCCCCCCCCCCCATATTTATAAACCAATTTTTGGCTGAGATATGACTGTTTTCATTCATTTTGACTGAAAAAAAATAAATAAATAACAGTACCATTTTCAGCCACTAGATGGCAACAGAGTAGTAGTAGCAGTAGGGCATGCCGTTGTGTAATGTAATAGGTAAACGTGTCTATAATGACAAATTCAAAAAAGTTCAAGACAAAAAAACAACTGGACTTTATTTATTATACTTTATACTTTTTGTCTTGAACTTTTTTGAATTTACCATGTCCTGGATGACTGAGAATCTTCACCAGCTATTAATCAGCTTGCCACAATAACCCCACCTTCGTTCTGCTCACTGCTTGGACTGACCGTCAAAACAGCTACACCACCCCGGCGAAATGCAGCTAATTTGACCATTAAAGTGCATTTATTAAGTAAAAGTTCTACTGAGGCACACCTTTACTATAATTTCAAGCAAACAAATAATTGTTTTAGGTGCTTTTCTTGTTAAATTTCGAAAAAACGAGCAGCGTTTCTCCTTATTTTTTTCCTCCTTCTGCGCGCGCCCGGAGCACCGAGGCAGCGAATACAGTTGATTTGACCGTTAAAGTTCTTTTATTAAGCAAACGTTAGACTGAGACACACCTTTACTATAATTTCGAGCAAACACATAACTGTTTTTAGGTTGTTATCGTGGTAAATTTCAAAGAAATGTAGAGGCTCATCCCTCTGCGCATACCCGCCACTTCCGTGAATCCGGTTTTGAAATACAGATGATTTGACCGTCAAAGTGCATTTATTAAGCAAAAGTTAGACTGAGACACAACTTTGCTATAATGTCAAGCAAACGAATAACTGTTTTTAAGTGTTAATCTTGTTAAATGCTTGCTAAAGTCCTGTGCACGCTCTCACGGCCGCCATTTGGCAGCCAATCAATTTGTGGCACAACACCGGCCCACATTTCTGGGTTCGGCCCACATTTCTGGGTTGTCAGCGGTGACGCATAATAGATGCAACGTATATGGCGAAGTGACATATTTATGGATTTTTTCCACTTTTTTAGACATATTTGGACTGATGCGACTTATAGGGCGGTGTGACGGGTACGGCAGAAAATAAGGTAATACAAGGTTGCTGTGCCCAATTCATTGCCCCTCCACTACCATGATTTAAAGTTAAGATGAGTGTTGATATTTTACATTTTGTCTGTTTTTTTTTTTAGGTGGGGAACAACTAATGGCCAAACATTTTCCCTTTGGTCTCATCTGTCCAAAAAACTATCTCAGAATTCCTGTAATTTGTTCAAATGCAGCTTTGCAAACCTAATCCGTGCTGCCATTCTGTAAGAGAAACTCTTTTCCTGGCTTTCTCCTAAAAAAGTTTGCATTTAAGAAACATATTCTCACTTTTAATTTAACTTTCCTGTCATCCACTTTTTTTTTTCAAATGGTCTAACAGCCCAACAAACCCCTGAATGTGTGCGATCTGTTTTTAGAACAATCTGATTGCAAAAACCTACCAGAAAGACAGAGTGTAGTCTCCAACAAAGGTTTCACTCTCCCGAACCAGGAAGGAGCCATCAGGAGCTCCAGTCTCGTGGCAGTAATCGGACAGTAGCCTCTCAGCGATCTGTCGACCATCCCGCCCAGCACCTAACTTCCCGTGGAACCATTTTTCTGTCACGTGCTGGTCCATAGCATTGGACACCTGGAGAAATTAAAGAAAGAGGGTCATGCTACATTTCTTCACCAGGCTCTGAAAAGAACAAATGTTCAAACAAAAACCTAACTTATTTCATTGTTGTGTATAAATTGAACACACAGTCATGTTGTTACGCCTACTAACCTCTCTATGCTCTTCCTCATCGTCGTTACCCTGGTTACCAGATGTCTCTTCTGAGTAGTAGATCGTACTGCTGGTCAGAACGAAGAAGTGAGGGTACCACTCCTGTGGGGGAGAAGCGTGGGGAAATGGGGTTTGTCAAAACAATTGCAACAAAACAGTCTTCCAAAAGATTAATAAAAAATACAGTCAACCGAAAGACCAGGATGCAGCCTTATTTTTGCTCCGATCAAACAAAAAAATTGAGTATCCACATTCAAGTCATTAGAGTTTGAATATTCTTTTATGTGGCAACATTGATATACGTGTACCCATGAAGTATGCTTACATGGTTAATGGGATCTTCCAGGAATAAGATGCCATTTCTGATGGAGTTGCTGATATCATTCTCGGAGTAAGTTGTGGAAGTGGACACTTCCTCGTAAGCACTACCCTCTGCAAGCTTCTTGTGCTAAACAAGATAATTAAATACATTCAGAATTATTATCCTGCCAAATTGTGCATTTTGTACGTTTTCCTGAAAACAAACTAGAGTTCTTGTGGCTGCAGGTAAACCCTGACCTTGATGAGAATCTTCTTCTTGAGCTGGTTGGGTGAGGGCAGGCCATCTGCTGCCATATCCACCGGCTTGGTCAGCAGCATGTCTCCAAACATCTTCTTAAACTGCGTGGCCATATTCCTCTGCTGAACAATACTACAGTGGTCCTCGATGGACAGGATGATGGGATAGCTGAAGAAGAAACACAAATTTGTGGTCGAAAAGTTGCAGCAATGTCTTAACCTTTGATTCGTGTTTAGGTATAACACTGCCTCACAGACATAAAGAAGCAGCCAGGTCACATTTTTCTGTGTGACGTCTTTTCATTGTTGTCATTTCTTATCCCTTGTTCTCATCACCGAGAGCAACAAACAGTTTGAAGGGAGTGACTCACTCAGAAGTGACAAACGCATGCTCTTTGATGGTGATCAGGACGTCCATAAACTTGATTTTTGACGTGAGGGTGTGTCCGTGGTAGATGACCGGCATTCCATCTGGACCGTCCCAGCAGTCCACTGCAGATAAAACATCATCATCATCATCATCAAGACAAAACATAACTTGCATTCTGCAGGGAAAAAAAAAAGTGAGCATACAGGAATGTACTCATCACAGTGTGACAATCCAGTCACGCACGCATTTATGTAATCAGGATTACTTTTTTTTTGTCTCCGGTAAAATAAGTCGAATTAGTCATTCATAAAAACCTGCTCAACGAGGGTTTGATGTAACTGCAGCAGACACTATTATGTGTGGCAGTGAGGGTGCAATGGGTACAATGAAAAGAAGAACTGTGGCATTTCTTTTACATTAAAATTAGATGGTTATTTACTGTGTGTGGGTTCAAGTTAAATCACTTCATTGTGTGTTTACCCACATTCTATGCAGCGACATCCCATCCTCAGACAGCGAGCATACGCCTCCAGGGACGACTCACTGGAAAACTGGTCCCCCGTCAGGTAGCTAAAAATAAACACCTAACGTTAAAGTATGTACACAAAGCCTGTTCTCTATGGACACTCTAAAGGATCTACAAGTTGAGGAGTTCACCTCAAGCATGCACACACGGCGTCTCTGCAAATGTACAAAACTAATTTGTACTTCTAAGTTACAGGAGATGTCTCTGTTGTTGACGGCAGCGAATAGTTCAGTTAAGACGACTCAATCAAAAAGAAAAGCTGCCTGGGAAGTTTGAACTCACTGCACCAAGTTATTGTTTCACATGTTGAACAAAAGGTTATCAGCTGAACTACTGTACCTCTCTCACACTTTTCAATGGCAGGAAAAAAAAAAAAAAACATTTTCTTGCAGAATGATTATACAAATCGTATTCTTGGATATATAGTGAAATGAAACACTTTGATGTATGAAGTCAGTTCAAAGGCTTTAGATGACGAGAGAATGGAAGCCAGATGTTGGCATTACCAGGACCCGATTACAACTGACAGAGCAAAGATGCCTTCAGTCCTGTTAAGCTTACGTGTTGTGTGAAGAGGAGATCCAGTAGTGGGATAGGGGGTTGTTCATATTTTCAGGACATACTTGGTCCAAGGAGGAGTCCCAAATGGTGTTCTCTTTGGAGAAGAGGTATGTGAGGAACTGTCCAGGAGACAGAAGAGCAGTGAGAATGTGAAAACATTCAAATCCCAAATAATTTCTTATAAATCTTTGTTTAGGTGATTTATCCATTTTAAATCTTAGACATATGTCATGTAAAACACAAGGAAGGAATGATAATTGGCATGTGTGTGGATAAAACATGAAATTATCTTTATTTGATAAAGGATTAAGACCAACGCTTTCTGACAAAAATATGATTTTTGTGACAAAAAGTCTGCTTAGAAGGGATCTATGTACCAGTTTCGCCAAACGTTTTCAGTCAAAACCTGTTTGCAGACATCAACATCTTTAAACACACACACAGACGTAAGCCCAACAACATCAAGAGGCAGCAACCATGTGGGGCACATAAGACTGATAAAATTGAAAAACCTCGACACTGCTGCCTCACAGGAAAACATTTGGTTCAAATCTTAGCTGGGACTTCTAAGTGAGGGGTCTGCATGTTCTGCATGTGCAGCTTTTCCTGTGCTTCATTTTGTTTCTGTGATAGCATTGTGATGGACCAGATCTGCCCTTCACACAGCGACACTACAGTTGTAATGGTGTTTAATTAGCTGCCTTTAAAATAAAAAATAGTTGTGTTGAAGTTTAGTAAAACAAGTTAAATCGTGTCATCTGGACCAGTTTCTTTAAGTGAGAAACGTTTCGTCCCCCATCCAGAGGACTTCCTCAGTCTGCGGCCTGCCAACCAGTTCAGCCCCATAGGTATCCTTCACTGCTGTGTTTCAAGTCAACCTCCTGTTGGAATCTCTAAAGTAGGCTTTTAACACGTGCAAAGCACACCCATCCAAAACAATCAGTCATCATGTACAACAATCAAACGTTTTAGGCCAGATGGCCAACTTGCTACTCACAGAAACAGTCTGAGAACAACCAAGGCCAAAGTGGTTCATGAAAAGGTTTGTAAGCTCAATCATCCAGATAGATAACAACAAAAAAAGTAGGGATGCACAATATTATCGGCATGGTATCGGCCGATATCAGCGTTAAAATTCAATATCGGACATGGGCCATTCCATCAAAATAACTCAGATGTAAAAGACGCTGTTTTTGTATGACAACCCAGTGACAAGGATGCTTGCAGCAGCAGCACAACGTGATGTCACGCACCTACCTGATCTCATGGCGGAGAGGAAAATTCAAAATGTCAGCTGTGTGGAAGGGTTTTTTTTCTTTTTGTTGTTGGTGAGGATGGCGGATTCTGAAAATTTTTGGATGTTGAGCCTCGCTACATCGTCTCCGGTCAGATATTTTTCTGAAGTAACCTTACCTGAGTTATAAGCTGTTATTTCTGATGTCATTGAGAAGCTAATAGCCGATAGCACTTGGGTGAGTTTTACCACAGACATTTGGACGTCAAGTGTTAGCCCCGTTAGCATGACTAGTCTTACAGCACAATGAATATACAAAAAAACTAAAAGTCTGTCCTTCATGCACAGGAGTGCAGAGGATCACAAACTGCAGCTAGAAACCTGGAACAAACCTCCACAAGTGAGACAGCATTGCATGTGACTAATGCTAATAAATAACATTTAACATTTTTGATTTAATATAAGTAAAAGTGCTATGCATATGGCTGTTAGTGAATATATGTCACCAGCTCTTACAGCTGTTACTCAATTTTTGTAGCAAATAGGCCTAAATAAGAGGGCTATGTTCTGACTAGAGCTGGGCAATATGGGCCAAAATTTATCTCGATATTTTAAAATAAATTGCGATATACGATATGCATCTCAATATTTTTTCTTTCCATAAAGTAATAACAAAAATATATTTCAGTCAAGGTTTTGTCCCAGTTGTCACATTTATTAACAGCTGTAACTGTACAAAATAAATGCCTAAAAAAATTAACTATTTACATATATTAAATAGATTATTTTGTAGCCATCTATTTACATATATTAAATAATAATCCTCTTCAGCTGGGGGCAGCTGTGGCTGAGAGGCTAGAGCAGTCATCCTCTATGGGAGAGTTGGGGGTTCAATTCCACCAGCAGTCACATGCTGAAGTGTTCCTGAGTGAGACACTGTCCCCTCACTGCCTCCAATGTGTGTCCCATCGGTGTATGAATGTGATTTAAAGCTCCGATTATTCTTTGTAGAGATCTAGTAGAGTGCTGTATGAATGGGTAAACGCAAGGGCGTCAGAAGCATTCGTAATGTGGGGGGGACACAATGATGTGTGTCGGTGTGTGTGTGCGCGCGTGCATGTGTGCGCACGTAAAAAAAGGTGTTCACTAGTGAACAAAAAAGCAACATTTCACCTAGATTTCCTTTAATTCCACACATTTAAAACATGTTTCTCACCAAGTTTGTGTAAATTCAGCTGTGGGTTTTAACACACATTTTAACTTTAATACACTTTAATACAGAGCCTCAGATCAGCACTATTTGTCTTTATAGAGAAATAAAAATCATCACCACTGGACTTTTTTTTTTTTTTTACTTGTGTTCAACACTACTCATCTAAATGATGTTTCTCAAGCTTGAGGACAATAAGGTGTGGGGTTTTAAAGACATTTCAACTTTAATGCAGCTGAACACACAGCGTCTCTTACACCTGCAGCGTCTTACAGCGTCACAGTTACTGCTAAGATAAGATGCACTCCTCTCAAGCATCCTCCTAACATGAATATATGTTTATGATCAACCCCCTGGTCAATTGCCCGCACTAAGCTGCTAAACTGGTGAGCGAGTAACACAGATACCACCACCTCCTTCACCTGTGTGCGTTTTCTGCCGAGGCAAGAGGCAGGAAGGGACGGTGGAGAGTTGGAGGTAACCAGGAAAACCTGGAGTGGAGTTTTAATGGTTTGAGTATTCTCCTATTAATCAAGTGGAATGGATTTGTTCATGAAGAAAGAGAAACTGCATCGCCTGAACTAATGTTTTATAGTAAAAGTGGGGGGTCCAAATGAACGTTTTTTTAATGTGGGGGGGGGGGGGAGGACTTGTCCCCTTCGCATATAATGGTTGCGACGCCTATGGGTAAATGAATGCACAGATTGTGTTGTAAAGAGTTTTGAGTGTCTTGATAAGATAGAAAGGCAATATACAAGTACAGTCCATTCAGCTGCTCCGCCTTCACGTTAGTAAGCGTGTGAAGCTGCTTTAGTGAGCTTCCACTTGGAACTGTGAAGCTGCAGGTGCGACAGACCTGTCTCCTTCCTTGAAACAAACCACGTTTCAGAACTCATTTAGCCATGCTGTGCCTAGAGGAACAGAGAGAGGTAGCGCAACATTAATAAATTGGCAGCTTTATCATAAAGCTAAGACACGGTCCTGTCTCAGCTTTGGAACAAGACGGCTAAAACGTTAGCCGCTAAGGACCGTATCTTTAGTGATATGATAAGCTGCCAATTTATTAATGTCGCGCTACCTCTCTCTGTTCCTCTAGGCACAGCACGGCTAAATGAGTTCTGAACCGTGGTTTGTTTCAAGGAAGGAGACAGGTCTGTCAGACCTGCAGCTTCACACCACCCAGCACCAGACTCACCTTACCACCGGATGAAGAGCATCTCAGCGTGACCTCAGCAGAAGTAAGGAGTACCTTCAGGAGGATTAATCCGCACAAAGCAACTGGCCCAGACAACATCCCCGGAAAAGTGTTGAAGGAATGTGCTGATCAGCTCTGCGAGGTGCTGGCAAACATCTTTAACACCTCACTTACCCTGGAGACAGTTCTCACCTGCCTGAAGACTGCCACCATCATCCCAGTCCCAAAAAGCTCTACAGTGACTGGTCTGAATGACTATCGGCCAGTGGCCCTCACCCCGATAGTCGCTAAATGCTTCAAAAAACTGGTCATGACTCACATCAAAACAACCATCAACATCAACGAGGACCCTCATCAGTATGCATACCGTGAGAACCGATCAACAGAGGATGCCATCTCCTCTGTGGTCCACACTGCGCTCAACCACCTGGAGCAGAAAAACTCTTACGTCCGTATGCTCTTTGTGGACTTCACATCTGCCTTCAACACCATGATCCCCCAAACCCTGATGGACAAACTATCCACACTAGGACTAAGCCCCTCCATTTGCAACTGGGTACTAGACTTCTTAACAAACAGACCAGTTAGTGAGGATCCACAACTTCTCCTCCTCCACCATAACCCTCAGCACTGGCTCTCCTCAGGGATGTGTGTTGAGCCCCCTCCTGTTTACTCTGCTCACGTATGATTGTGCAGCTACCCATCCAGGCTGTCACATTGTAAAGTTTGCAGATGATACAGCGGTGGTGGGATGCATCACAAACAATGATGAGTCCAGCTACAGGCAAGAGGTGGAACACCTGGAGAGCTGGTGCAAAGAGAATAACCTTCACATCAATGTGAAGAAGACAAAGGAGATGATCGTGGACTTCAGAAGGAACAAAAACATCTACACCCCCCTGAACATAAGAGGATCTGCGGTGGAAGTGGTCTCCAGCTACAAGTACTTGGGTGTACACATGAATGACAACCTCAGCTGGAGCAACACCACCACCAGCCTGATCAAGAAAGCTCATCAGAGACTCTACTTCCTCAGACGGCTGAGGTGAGCTGGTCTGGGAAGCTCAGTCCTCACCTCCTTCTACAGGTGTGCAGTGGAGAGCATCCTGTGCTCCAGCATCAACGTGTGGCATGGAGGCTGCACAGCTGCAGAAAGGAAAGCTTTGCAGAGAGTGGTGAAGGCTGCACAGAAGACTCGGAGTCAGCCTCCCCACCATCACAGACATCTACACCTCTAGATGCAGGAAGAGGGCTACCTGCATCATGAAGGACCTCACTCACCCAGCACACACACTTTTTGCCCTGCTTCCCTCAGGAAGGAGGTTGAGGAGCATTAAGTGTAGAACCACTAGACTGAGGAACAGCTTCTTCCCTGAGGCTGTTAGACTCATGAATCTCTAACTAGAATAATCACTGTGAAAAACCATATCATGTTGCTGCTGATCTGTTTCATGTTGCTGCTGATCTGTTTCAATGTTGATGTGTTCATGCGTGTTCATCTGCTCACACAGACTCATGTTCATGTTTGTGCTGATGTTCAATGTTTTTATGTTACGAGTGCTTAGTGTATATTTAGTTGATGTTTTTCTTAGTTCATATCTTAGATGTTATTACTGTTTTTCTTATACATTTTATTGTTGGATGTAACTGGGACCTTGTGTACATAATTTCGCTCCACCACATGTACCACATGAGGTGCGAATGACAAAGAAACTCTGACACACGCTCAGCTGCTCGTGTTTACATCTGCTAAACGTCTCCTCTCCTGCCCGCCCACCTCCTAGAGAAGCGGGGAGGTTGGGGGGGGGGGGGGGGGGGGGGGTTGAGGGCTGTGTGTTTGTGTTCAAGGAGGGAGGCGGGGGGGCGAGTGGGAGAAAGAAGACGGCAGAAGGATTTCCTGTAAAACTGTATCGTTTTATATCGATACAGTCTCAACTTATATCGCAAAAACAAAAAACGTAAATCGATATTTTAAAAATATCGATAAATCACCCAGCTCTAATTCTGACAAAGGAAAGTATATAAAATATCGGTATCGGCCAAATAAGGTTTAACATAACAAATATCGGCCAAAAATCCAATATCGTGCATCCCTACATCCCTGTCATCTGGACCAGTTGACCAACTGCTCTTAGCACAGCCAAGACCGTCTCCTGCTATGAAACACTAAGCCACAAATAAATAACCCCATCTCCTGCAGTATGGTTGCACTGGTTTCCTCTTCTTTTAAATCAAAAATATTTTTGTAGTGACCACAAAAGCATGCTTTGCTTTCTGCAGAACTGTGACGTGACATCGCACTAAATGACCTTTTCGAGCTGTGTGGGACAATGTGTTTTAGGCAGAAATCATCAAGTATCCATGTCAGTGTCTGAGAATCTCCCACCCACACTAACAGTACAGACGGTGGGCATCGGAAAGTTGACTTGCAAAAACATATTTAAATGTTTCCATTACAGAGCAAAACCTCCAGAATTAAGTGAAAACATTTTTGAGAAAGGGGGAAATAAAGTGTGTACTTCATCTTGATGAAAATATGGCTGCTCCACTTCTCTCAGCGGATCCTTCAGGTAGTTAAACATAAACTCCTGAACCTTGTTGTTGTCTACGGCCCACGGCTCCTTGATTAACAATAAATACAGAAAGGTTAAACATAAAACCAACTGAAAAAAAAAGAAACAGTAATATGTATTTATCAACCAAAGGATTTTTACCTTTTGAGAGTCAAGAAGGAAGCTCTTAAAGTCCTCCAGGGAGACCCTCTCTTCTGGTTTATCAGTGAACCTGATAAGGGAACGTGGTGGTTCGTTTTTATAGATAACCATCTAACACACACATGCACAAATAATTCAGAGTGTTTATCTGAGTGTGCTTTTTTGTACCCACCTTTGAAGAAATGGAAAATCCATCTGAAAAGATAAAATAATTTAAACATTTTAGTCTAAGTGTTGAACTTTTACTGTGTGATGCTGCTAATAAAAAATGACTTCCTGGAGGTGGAAGGGAGGCCATTGAGGTCATTCATTTAATACGACCTGAGCTCTGTGTGTGTTTGTGTGTGTCCTAATGGCCTCCACTAGAGAGGTTTGGTGGGTTTTAACTGGTGCATATTGATCCTGCAGCTATTTGAGAACATACAGATGGGGGATGAAGTGGCAGGACATCAGATGGGGTTAGTGATGGGTTTATCAGTCCATACAGGAAATAACTACACTTACATTTTTCTGAGCGTCAAACATGAGGTTACGATACAGCTGGGCAAACTGGCTGAAGGACACATCACCATTCCTCATCTCAGAGTCCTAAAATCAAGGGGGAAAAGCCATTAATTGTAAATCTTTATTCTCCAACACCAGCATGGTGGAAAGGAAGCGGGCAGGGAAATAGAGTGGGGGGTCTGTGATAAGTGGAAGAAGGTTACCGGAAGTTTCTCTTTGAGGAACCTCATGTTTGGCACCTTAAAGTTGACCTGGCTCAGCATGTTCTTCAGATCCTTACAGGATATCCTAAAACACACACACACACATTTTGTGAAAAGAAAACAAACACTAACGCACAATACGTGCAAAGGCCCACAAGCACAGACCCTTTCCTACCAGACGTAAATGACATTTTCACAGGATAGCTGAAACCTTGTAAACAGACTCGTTCTGTTGAGTCGTTTTGGCTTCACTTCCACTACAGTCTGGAAAATTTTTGGCAAGAGATGACAATACCCAACACAAAAAGAAAAACAAAGACAGGGATGTTACAGGCAAACATCTCTGCACATCTTCGTTCTCTGCAGTCTGTTTCCTGCTGCAGGAAGAGCGACTGGCGTGTGCAGCTCTCAGGTCAGTTCCTTCACTACACCTCAAATTAGGGTCTCTCACAAACACCTACCGGCTGGGTACAGCAAGCAAAGCTGATCTTAACTGTGTGCTGTGAGGAGTTAACATCTATTTACATCAATGCATCTTTGTGAAGGTGGCAGGATTAAGTCAAAGTGCAGTTTACCTGTCCTCTCTGTTGCGATCAACTGCATAGAACTGTTTGCGTAACCACCTAAAAAGGTAACACATTTTAAGCGAGAGGAAAAAAAAAAGCGTAATTAGGAGTGACAGAAAAACTGATGTCTGTTGACGGCAGCTTAGGCTTTGATTGTGGTGTGAACATGCATTCATATTACCGTTCTATTTGAAGCGGTGTTGGTGACTTCAGTGTATCAGTCATAAGCCAGTTTAACCCCTTCACCCACATGGTCATTTCATCGTCAGACGTCGCTGAAGAAAACAATTCATCACATTCATTCAACCTTTATTTATACAGGTTAGTCTCATTGAGCCTCGAGGACTCACTCACAAGAGAGACCTGTAACATGAGTGAAGTCTGAGAAATGTGACAATAATGTGCATTCACCTAAATAAAAGTCTTGCAAATAGGAAAAAAAGCATAGAAGGTGACAAATCAAAACTCTGATGGAGGTTTGCAATGGTAAAAAGAAAAAAACAACTTCCTGCTTACCTGAGAGGCTGAGGGATTTAAGGCGAAACTCCGTGCCATACAGAATAACGAAGCAGTACGCTTGATCAGGCTTAGTTGACAGGTCATCGTGGCGATCAAAATCACGAGACTTCAGGCCGGAGCGGATTTCTTTAATCTCTCGAATGTCAACTGCAGAGTCAAAAACATTTTGATGGTGATACATTCACAGTTTGAAAGTGATGGAAAAATGGGTAATATTTCACAAGTAGGCTATGATAACAAATTTTGCTGGGCGATTAATTGTCTCAGAAATTATTGCGATAAACGATAATACTGTTTGAAATTTGACAATAATTAGTAATTATTGTCAAATTTAAGAAGAAATTTTGGTTAATTTGTTTTGAGTGTAGTACCATTTTTGACCACCAGATGGCAGTATAAGACTGAACTGAAGGATGGACAGTGAGAGAGCGAGCAGTGTGTCTCTAAGAAAAATGGGAGGGAGGCCTCTTGATATGACATGGGCTATCTCTCTTCGGTTCTTAAAATGCCGGATGCTCGGTGTGGTTTGAGCTCTTTAGCATAGCATTTGCCACACAAAGCTTTTAATAAAAAAAAAAAAATAATAAAATTCAGTAAACAAGTTCTCAGCTTCTTTTTGCAGAAAAAAACAACTTTTTAGACAAAGGCATGAGTTTCAACCATGAATTTTGGAGCTTCGACAAGACGGAGGTTTTTTCCCCCCTGAGGTTGGCCTGTTAGCTTAACTCATAGCTTAGCTTCTCAGCTTAGCTGCTTTTAACGATCCAAAAATGTGATTTTGGACGTTAAAACTGATTTTAAAGTGAAAGGGAGGGGTCAATGAAGCGCACTGGAGTAGATTTTTTTTTTAATCATCCAGTGTCTTCAGTAGAAAGAGAGACGCGAAGAAACGATAAAGCCAATAAATGTAAATGAGGTCGATAATTTTCATTTATCATGCGATTTATTGTTTATTGCGACAGGCCTACTTGCAAGTGTTTAAACAAACGAGTGTGCAAATTTATAGACGGCAAAACAAAGAATTGTGCACAACTTAGTATAATTAGAAAACCAAATTAACTTCAAGTCTCAGGGAAAACGCTTGCTCTTTTATAGTTTTCTCACTTCACCATTTTCTCACAGTTAAACCCATTTAATTTACAGTAATGAAAATCCTCTGACCACATGCAACGCACAAGATGGGGCTACGAAACAAACCACAAGTAGGTTTACTTCCAGCGAAGGCAGATCTGAAAACGTTAGTAGAGTCTACAAGTTACCACAGATAAACTGAGCTCACTTTGCCTCCTGCCAACAAAAATCTACTAAATCTGAACGATGGATGACTTTAAGATGGGTGAGAGTTTAGTTTATGATGAACACAGCTGCTTTGTAAAGCAGAGTGTTCATCAAATCACAAACAGCAATATTGGTGTGGTGGTAAATAATTTTGAGTGCACAAAACAGGAATTGTAACTTCAGATTTCCTTTCGATAGACGCTTCGTTTATCTCAAGGGAGAGAAACTTTAAAAAAAAAAATCATGTGCACTTTGTTTCAGTGCAACAACTTTTTAACCGGAGCCTTTATCAGTGTGTGGGATGTAAAGCAGATCAACACTAGCAGCAGTCAGACTTAAAGCAGGGGCTCTCCTGCTGAACACACCGTTTTCAGCTCCTTCTCCTCTTCCTGCCCCCGTACCACACATCCTGTGCTTTTGTCGCCTACACGCCACATCTGTGCTTGTGCATAGGCGAGGGTGTGCATGTTATTGTCACATGAACTATAAGAAATGAGGTCTTCTCTCTGTATGTCACCAAGCTGAGTTTGCCAGTCATACATCACATCTCGGTTTACTTTAAGCACACGGGCCAGCAGGCTTCCGCTGACTGAAGCAACTTTTCACGGGCTGATCTGTTAGGGAGAACATTTAGTCATTTGAGTCAAAATACATAGAGGCCGTTTCACACTAATGCGGAAAATAAGAAAAAAAATTAATCAAACAGTCCTAACCATAAGAGATAAGAAGAAATATTCCTGCAACATACTCCCTCATTTCCTCCTCATTCCTCCCGCAGAACATTGCTAGTGCTCATAACCAGGAAACCCAGCGGCTAATAAAACACCAGTTTCTGTTTTTGATGTCATTTTTTCAAGAAATATTTTGACTATATTCAAGACTGCTTTCCATTACAAAGAAACAAGAGCGTTTGCCTTTAAAAAAAGAACATCAGATAAGATTTGCACATCTTGTTTCATGAAACTTTTGGTTGAAGTGCATTAAAGAGTCACTTTTTTTTTTTTTTTTACAGTGCAACATTTTAGTGACTGAAGTGTTAAATTGTAATAAAGCTAAATATTCACATCATAGAAACTAAATTTGGTGGAAATGTTTTGTTCATCAGAGCAAAGATTAACATGTTAAATAGGTAAAAAGTTTAGAAAAACTACTTAAGAGTAGTCCACAGTGTTCTACAGATTTAATCTATAACCACACCTGTTCAGGTTTGTTAAATTTAAACATTAATTTATTAATTTAACCGTTTACACTGAAAGAACATTGTATCGTTAGCAACCCTTTAAATATATTTGCGGCCATTTGTGTTATAAGATTATCACAGTTTTAATCATTATGACAGAATAAAGTTGCATGGCGTGTTTGAAGCAAACAACAACAACAACAAAAGGAAAACATTAAGGCTAAGACTCCTTCCTAGATTTGTAAACTTTTACAGAAGCAGCTCTCGTTACAGATTTAAATCTTTTAATTGACCGAATGTCCCACAATGAATGGAGCCAACCTTAAGACTCTCTGACAAACCACTCAACTCTTCTGTTCTCATTTCTGCAGCAACAAAGTGGAACAAGTCAGCTGCAGAGTTCTTGGTGTTTTCCAGTCTAAGTTTTTTATAGATTCCCCATAAAAGTAGTTTCTGATCGTGTACGTAATCAACCCACCCCGTCTGTTACGATTCTACGATTTGCTGATCTATTTCTCAAATGCAATGAAATAAATGTCAAGTGAAAATAAAACGATAAAACACAGTATCGGCTACAAAAGACATGGGGTTCTGAGACGGGAGCATGCACGCTTGTCTTTTGCGGGACGTATGAAAAAGGAAAATCAGAATGATGCACAGTTTCCATAAAGCTGACGAAAGCAAGCAAAGAACTATTTTTTGTTTTTTTTTAAGTTGAAAGATGCAGCCGGTCTGCAATCAGTACGTTGACAAGGATGGCATGCAGGCAAAGAATGTTGTTTGATATGCTGGTGAAACAGATAGTGTGTTTCACTACACTCAGTTTCTAAATATAGCTCTGATTACTGGGCACAACTTCCCTTTTGAAGAACAAACAATTCCTGAAAACTAAAATGACTTCATTTGTACTTCGTGCAAGTAAGCTCGCTGTGGTGACCCCTGAAGACGAGAGCAGCCGAAAGAAGAACTTTTTCTTAAAGCTCAGCTAAAACAATTCAACTCAACAATTCATTTATCGAGTAATGTCTTTGCTGATCAGATTTACAAATCCTTTCTGGATCTATCCGACTGAAATTTATTCAAACATAAATGTTCATTTACGGTCTTATGTTGTTTGAATCATTATTTATGGACATGGTTTTTTTTGTTTTAACGAATGCCACTGAAGACCTCGTCAATTTATGTACTGTATAAAAGAACAAGGAATTTATTCATAACTGGTTATGCTAATCTGCAAAAATCTGAGCATTTTTAATATTATTCCAAAGATTATTCCCGTTTAGTTTTAAATCGTGATACTAATGCATGCAGTAATAAATCTAACATTATATAGTTGAATCGATGATATAATAAAACGTGAAAAGTAGTGTGTAATAACTCAAACTAAAAGTAAATACTGACCAAAATACAAAGAAATGCAAATAAAAATTCCCTGTCACCCTACGCAGTGAACAGACATCACAGCAACACGTTTTAAAATGGTTCCTGAACCGGTTATTTTGGTGGCATGGAATAAACGTACGTACACACACACAAAACAGAATTAACATGTTTTTGTTTTTTAAAAAAAGAAGCTAATGATAAGATGTGTAATTGATTTTAGAAAGCAAACAGAGCCCTTCATCAAGATGTGACACTACTGTAAACGTCATAAAGCATTTTTGAGCTTTGACGTGAGCTTGAACTTCTACAGCCAAAGATAATAAAAAAGTACAGAAAAAAATAAAATAAATCACAAAGACTGTCAATAGTTATGTTCATATGCGCAAAATTCTTTGACCAGATTGAACTGTTTTCAGATGAAATAATTTAAATGTATCGTTTACATCAGTGGTCCCAAACCTTTATTGCGCCACGAACCGGTTTAATGTCCGACTATATTTTCACGGACCGGGGTTTTATTTTACAAAGGTTTATTACAGTAGATTAACATGAAACAAGATGTAAACTCATTCATGAAATGACTGCAAAGCGTTCATAATGCAAAACTGCTACAGCTCTGCAGTAAGGGGCGTTCACTTTAGGACACATTGAATTTGCTGATTTGTCCGTTATAAACATGAACATTAAAAGAAACAAACATTTGAAATATATCGGTCTGTGTGCAACAAATGAACATACAAGTTTCACTTTATGAATGGAATTACTGAAATAAATCAACTTTCTCACAATATTCTAATTTTATGACCAGCACCTGTCTTTCAAATGGACTTTTAATCACTTTGTGTGTGATTTATAAATGTATTAAGTGCAGGATCATTTCTCATTTAATTAGTAGATCCCACACCGGGGTCAGCTGAGCCTCGTCATCCTCCTCCCTGCTCCGCAGTGAGTCACACATCAGATTGTACACAAAAGCGCAGGAACTTATGCATACTGCAAAACTTTAATTATATTGTGTTTTTTAATAAAACTGCCCATGACTTTGAACTTTTAGGGGAGGAGATTGTTTTGTTTTTAAGAGCAGAAGCAGAAATGTGAAGGAACAGCTCTGATGTGATTCAAAAAAGCTCAAGACAAAACCAGCGCTGATGTGAAATTAGGAAACTTTGTTTAAAATTATAGTTTTTAGTTCATAGTTTTACGGTCACTCTTTGTCAGGCGGGTTGAAAAATATGCAGTGATCCTTCAAATGCGCAGACACGGTCGCAGGCCTCCTCCTGTCTGCTCCAGAACACAGAACTGCGCA